TGAAACAGGAGCCCTGAAACCTCGCAGATATAAAGATGGAGAACTGCATGTTTGGGTTGAAAGGGGGTCTTGGATCTGGAAAGGTTGAAGAGACCTGTCTCTGCCCCACAGCCGACTCATGAAGGAGGTCTGGCCAGCCTGACTGGGCCACATCCTGGCCTTGGCTGACCTGAAACACTCCCACCCTCTCCTGTGGGTTGGGCCCCATAGCCTTGAGGACTTTGAGGGGTCTCTGCCCGTTCTCCCCTCTTCCTCCTCCCTCCTGCATTAAGAAGAGATGACCCACTTTGCTCTCCTGACGCAAGAGGGAGGGGGGCTGCTCTCCATGGAAATCTCCCCCCACCTTGAGCCAAGGAGCCCCTATTCCTCTAGCAGAGGATGCTATGGGGTTTGCCCAGCCCCACTCCATTCAGCTCAGCCATTCCCAAGGGGGTCCTTCCCTAAAATGGCAAGTCCTCTTAAGCCATTGCTGCTGGGCTGAAGGGGGGGGGCTGTGCTGTGGGGGGGGTGGAAGGTTCTTCTTTGTGAGGAGGTTTTGCTGCGCTCCCTGTTGACCTCCGTCTCCTGGATCGTGGCCAGCTTCCCTCTTTCATTTCTCTGAATGCTGAGCTGTGCTCCAGGCCCCCATGTGGGGGGAAGCGAAACTCCCCCCAGCGCCTTTCTGCAGCGTCTCCTCTGCTGCCAGAAACAAGGGGGCAGAAGGAGGGAGAGGTGGGGGAGGGAGACATGTGCTATGGGCCCAGAAGTCCTGCTTCTGTCACCAGGGAGCAGGCTGTCTGGATCCTGCCCCTCCTGTCCAGGGACCCCTTTGCCCCCCTCCTCTTGGTCTGTTTCTTCCTCCAAGAGTCCTCCTTCCCAGCCTCAGGCAGGAGCTGCATGGACACCTAAATTACATTGGCACTGCCTGCAAGGAGAAATCTAGCACAGCAGGGATAAAGTGTGCAGGCCAAGCCATTGCCCCAGTTTCCTGCTTGCAGGGAGGTTATTCTGCTTCTCCTTCACATTGGGGAGAGAGCAGTAAAAACATGAAGCTGCAGCTACAGTGGAGCAGTCCTTTCTCCCTTTCTCCCGTGGGAACAGTTGTGGAATATAGATCTGAAGTTTACAGCCTCAGTGCCTCTGGGGGTCCACAAAACCCACATTTCTCACACCCAGTTTGTCCCTGGCAGCCCATCCCTGAGCATTTTCTATTCCGAAGTGATCTCGACCCAGAGTTTCCTCCTCCCTTCTCTCTCTCTCTCTCTCTCTCTCTCTCTCTCTCTCTCTCCTCTCTCCAGCCAAGGTCCTTCTCTGTGGAAGTGACTCCTCCACTCTTAAACTGAGCCTTTGCCCTCAGGTGTTGCTGCTGTTTTGTGCCACCACCAGGAACTGGGCCAATGTGCAAATCCAGGAAGCTCATGTACAGATAACCTGCAACCGTGGGCGTAGCCATGATTGGTTTTTTGGGGGGGGCAGGCCTTTTGATAGGGGGCAGAACCTCAGTTTGCTTTGTATTTTAATTGATTTTTATTGATTGGGGGCAGCAGTCCACCCCCCACCCCCCGGCTGTGCCCATGCTTACACACTATTTGATTGGTCCTTTTTCGAAGCATTTTTTCCTTCAGAAACGAGATGCAGAGAATTCCCACTATAGGTGGGGGGGGGGCCTGAGTGCTGGGATAGAATTGCCTCCTCCCTCTTTGAAGCAGAATGCAAAATGCAGAGGCTGCCACAAGCTCACAGCTTGGAAACATTGTTGGTACTGTATTTTTCGCTCCATAAGGCGCACTAGACCATAAGGCGCACCTAGTTTTTAGAGGGGGGAAATCAAGAAAAACATTTTATTCCCCCCCCCCCCGCCCCAAAGAGCAAAGAAGCCAAGACAGCGAGCGGGATCCATGCTGTCTTGCCTTCTGCCATAGCTGCACGCAGCCTCTCCCGGCCGGAGGGGCTGCACGTGGCTATGGCAATACCCCTGCTCCCGCAATAGCCCACAGGAGAAGTGCACCCTTTAAGGAGCATGCGGCTCCTGAGGGCTTATCTATGAGGAGGGAGAAGGGACTGACTGGCCGCGTCAGTCCCTTCTCCCTCCTGGGGAAAAGCCCGCAGGAGCCGGGCCTGCCTGCCTCCCCCCTGCATTCGCTCCATAAAATGCTCACACATTTCCCCTTACTTTTTAGGAGGGAAAAAGTGCGCCTTATGGAGCGAAAAATACGGTAATTAACGTGAAGAGTCTGCCATTTGAAGTTTTGCATTTAAGCCCCAAAATAGAAATTAGAGTGTTGGATTTCACATTTTACATGGGATGATTATTGACAGTGGGGAGAAGACAGCCTCGTAACTCCCCCGGGTAATTCTTTGAGGCAGATCTTAAAGCCAGAGCTGCTCCAAGGAACTAATTACTTGTTTAAAAAGTTCCTGTTTCGAGGGAACCTGAATGTCACAATCTCCACTTCTGCCTTGAAGCACAAAGCAGGGTTGGGGGAGGGGTAAAGGAGAGTTGCTATTGCTGCTGCTGGGGGGGTCTATAGTGTTGTCCTTCTGGGGACTTTCCTGGAGGGGAGGCTTGATGGGAGCCAATCACAGGTCCCGACGCTGCCTGGTCATCAGTTGCTGGGCAGGAAACGCGTGGCTCTTGCCAAACCCCTTCGAGTGCAGCACTTGCTGGTCTCTGACTGTGTCCTGGGCTGCTGAAGGGGAGGAGGAGCCTTTGATAAGCAAGAGGGAGGAAGGAGGAGGAAGACAGCCTGCAAAGATCAGGCCACCCGCACCCCACTTTCTTCCTCACCCTTTCCCTCTGGATCAGCCCTTCTCCAACTTCTGACTCTTGGGGATCAGCCCTCCTGCTGTGGAGGCCCCTCTTCACTTGCACCAGACCAGACTTATCCCAGATTTGAGAAATGTTGCCATACGGAAGGATCACTGCTCAGGGGCCCCTTCTTGCCCACTCTGGGGTCTCTTGGCAATGCTAGACTCCGACTCTTACCCCCCTTACTGGTAGCATGTGTTCCTTCAGCTGCTTCCAGATGTGGAGAGTCAGCCCTGCAGCCTTGAGGGGCCTCCTGCTCCTTCTGCTGACTGGGGCCCTGGCCTTCTGCCCCCAAGTCTTGCCCTGACAGCACTCCTGCCCTGCCCCTCTGCCAAACTCTGCCTTCTGTCTCTCTGCATTAATTGACTCCCCCCCCCCCCGCAATTTGGATCCCCCTCATTTGAGATCCAGAAGAAGGTATGAGATTGCACAGCAAGCTGGGCCTTGTCTGTTGGCCTCTGTGATGTTCCTGCTCCAGGTTTGGCACCAGGAAGGACGCCTCTCCCAAACCCCACTCGGTGGTGTCATTTACCTTCTGGAGACTCTTGCAAGGGGGGGGGGGCGGAGAAAGAGCTCAACAACTCCTTGCATTAATTTATTTTTAAAAGGCAGCAAAAATAGCAGCAAGATACGGAGAGGAAGGAAAACACCAGATAAACCAGCAAAGAGTGAATCCTTCTCTGAGGGTTTTAAGGCATGTTCCAGGCAACACAGTCAACTCATGATGGAGGTCTGGCCAGGCTGACTGGGTTACATCCTGACCTTGCATGTCCTGAAACACACCCCTCTCTAGAGTGTTGTTGCCCCTGGAAGAAGACCTTTATTCATCCACCCTGAATTTGGAGGGGGGCCTCTGCACATTTTCTCCCTGTCCCCCCGATCAATCACTCCAGTCTCAGAAAGAGCAGGTGCTTTGATCTGGTGAGGCATTTTAGGACAGGGGATGGGCTGTTCTGTTTCTGTCATCTGTTCTCCCAGAGTGGGGATCCACAGGTCCTGTGGGATAATGGTTTGGGGCATCACACAACCCACAGCTGGCCTTGAAGATCAGAAGAGTCCTGTTGTGTCATCAGGCAGATTAGGGTCCCCCTGCCCCAGCATCCTGTTCCCAGCAGGGGACAGAAAGGCAGACCAGGGCAAAGGCAGGGAGGCACCAGCGCTGGCTCTCGTGATCTCTTATCATCTCCCAGAATCTGGGCCTAGAGATGCGAGGAGAGCTTATAGGCAGAGAAAACAGCACTAGAAACAAATCAACAAACTGTAAGATTTATTCATTGCTTCTGGAAATACGGGAGCATGTATGAAAAACAGCAGTTGGGCTGGACTGAAGCCATTGGGAAAGTTTTGCGGATGAAGAAGGGATATTTTCCTCCACACAGACAGATACAACCCTGCTTTATGTGGACGAGAAAGGTGTTTGGGGTCTCTTAGCAGCTAAACTTCCCCAGCAAGCTGGATGAATCCTCTTTGGGATTAACGAAACACCTGAGGGGTGTATTCCTGCAGTGCAATGCACGGAACTGAGTAAGGCTCTCTCCAAAAACTGGAGAGGGAGGTGAATGGTTTTGGGTAAGTGGGGTGGAGATATGAATTGGTATGCCTGACACTCTGTTGGCAGGGGGTCTCCTTGAGCCACGCAGATGCAAGGCGAGGCAAAGCAGGAAACCTCCATAAAACTATCCTGACTCAACCACGGAGTTTGGGGTAGGATCTGCAGCCAAACCACAAGCCCCTCTGTCAGAGATGATTTAGCTGAGATTCCTGCACTGCAGGGGGCTGGACTAGATGACCCTTAGTATCCCTTCCAACTCTACAATTCTATGATTCTTTGAAATGCACGAATTCTTTGCCAGAAGCAAAAGCACCAGGGAGTTTCAGAACCTGCATGGAGGGAGCAGTAAATGTTGAACCATGGCAAGACATTTAATGTGAGCAAAATGTATACTTTTCCTATTTACTTAAACCGTCTGAGAGAAATTTATTTGTTAAGAGGGAAACAGAAAAGGGAGAAAAGTAATGTAAGTCTGCCTAAGCATCTTTGGCTATCATAATTGTTCTTGAAAGTTAAACATATGATCCGAAAAGCTTCTAAGGATAAGCTGCACACGGAGGAAGCAACTCCTTCCAGCTGATTTGTAGCAGAAGAGACTCTTGGCAAAGGAGCTGAGCTGAGAGGGTTGAAGGAAGAGACGGTCAGGAAAGGAATCCTCCATTATCTGAAAAGGAAGGAGAAGGGAGCTGGTGAGCTGGGAGTATTGAGGCTGGGCACCTTCTGGGCAGGATGAGGCCCACCCCACCCCTTTGCTGTGTATTTTGGCTTCCCTGCGATCGTTCATCCTCATGGCCTTGAAGAAAAGGATGGTGCCAGCGATGATGCCCAGGATGCCAAAGGCCAAGCCCAGGGCACACAGCATGTTCTCCATCGTCTCCGGGATGGGAGAGGGCGCCTTGGAAACTGGGATGGAGAGAGAGAGGACAGGGCTAAGGGGGAACTCTGTTTCTCTGTGTGTGTTCAGCGGAAGAAAGAACCCAGGAGTCCTGACACACCCGCCCCACAAGCCTTAATGCACACACTTTTAAGTTAAACTGAGAGAAACTACCTCAAGGAACCCCCGAAGGCTGAGGAGATTTCACCCCTCCCATATCCAAGAATCTCCTGAGGAGTCTGCTGATTCTCCAGAGAGGAGGAGGCGTGTTCTGCTCTCTACTTATTCTGCTCCATCACCAAATCAGTCAGTCAGTCAGTGTCGGAGAGAGAGAGAGAGACTGAGTGTTAGAGATCGTGTGTAGAGATAAGGTTGCTGCTAAGAGCAGCTGCAGACACTCAGTGCAGTGCAGCATTCATTTATGCTTAGACCTATTAAGCTCTGTATATAGTTTGTATAGTTGTAGATAGAATAAAGAAGATATTCTACAGAGCTGCTCTCTGAGTTGTTTATATACTCTGCTAGACTCTGCTGTACTCTGCTGTGCGACGACTGTCTTCTTGTGGAAGTGAATCCGGTGCTCACAACTTTAAGCTGTGAGTCCACAGCCCTTTGACCTGTTCCTGTGCAGAAGATGGTCTCTGGAAGTGCTACCCAGCTCGCCTAGCCCAGTCGGGGCTGAAGTGGATGAGTCCAATTGGTGGCACTGGCTCAAGGGCGATGCTGACATCGGTTTTGGGCCCAGTCATCTGACCAGTCGTTGTTCCAGTTGTACCAGTCGTCCCAGTCGTCCCAGTCGCCAGAGGTTTCTGTTGCTGATTGCCGGACGGCGGAACGGACGCTGCATGCTGGACTGATTTGTGGTGCCCAGAAGCAGAGCTGTTTTGGAGCAGAGTGTTCAAGCTGCCGCTGTTGCTGTTGCTGCTGCTTGATTTATGGAGGTATGTTGCTGACTGCCAAAGAAAGAAGATAGCATCCCTGTTTGCCTGTTAATTGCGCTCTGAGTGGGCGAGAGAGTGGCTGAAGGAGTCCAAGGCTTTATCTGTGTTGCACGAGGGAAGTGTCTTGCTCTAAGTAATAGCAGACATGGCCTGTGCACATTCTGGCCAGATGGCTCTGTCCTTTCCTCTCCTCACGCCAGAGACCTATGCAGTTTGGCAGGTCAAGATGAAAGCGCTTTTACAGAGGGAAAAGCTATTTCACACTATAGAAGATGACCCTCCCGATAAGGATGATGATGAATGGCCTGAGTGGCATGCTGCAGACATGAGAGCCCGTGGGACAATTGTTTTGAGTGTTTCAGACCACTTGTTGGTGAACTTAGAGGGTCAAGAGACTGCACGAGCTGTTTGGCATAAGTTGAGAGATATGCATTTGAGGCAGAATGCTGGTTCCAGTGTGATTTTCTTTAAGAAGCTGTGCAGGCTGCAGTTGGAGAAAGGTGGTGATTTGCCTAGCCATCTATCTCAGTTAAAGCGTCTCAGACAGGACCTTGTTCAGCGAGACCTGGCTATTTCAGAGGCTGTGTTTGCAATGCTGATGATAAATAGCCTAGACGATTCTTACGATGGAGTAGCTGCCCAGATTTCTACTATGCCTTCTGACCGGCTAACGGAAGATTATGTGTCTAGCGTGCTCTTGAATGAGTGGGATCGCAGACAGGCTGTTAGAGAAAGCCAGGAAAATGGTGCTGTTAAAAATGTGCTTGAAAATGTGCCTAAGTCTCCAGCAGGGGAAAGTGAAAGTGAAACTGCTGCTGTTAAAGCTTTGAAATTGAAGCTGTGCTTTTCGTGTGGAGCACAAGGCCATCTGAGTTTTCAGTGCAGCAAGAAATCTTCAAAGAAGAAGGGAAACTTCAAAGGCAGAGGGGGAGGAGGACAAAATCCCCAAGCACCTGCTACTTCAAAGGCTTTGATCTCTCGCTGCTCCAATCAACGTGGGTGGAGTTTCTTCGTGATCGACTCTGGCTGTTCCAACCACGTGGCCAAAGATGAAAGTCTCTTTATTCAGCTTAAGAAGCAAGAGAAAGCAATTCATCAAGCAGATGCGACTGTTCTCACGAGTTTGGCTCAGGGAACTGTGTTCTTAAAGAGCCTGAATGCAACAATTAAGAATGTCCTGTATGCACCTGATATTCAGGACAATTTGTTGAGTGTATCCCAGCTTGATCGTCAGGGTTTTAAGGTGGTGTTTGCTAAATCTCGCTGTGAAATTCGTCGAGATGGCAAGCTTATTCTATATGCAAAATGTGTTAATGGTTTGTACCAATTGCCTTTTGTTACAGGTACAGGTACTGCAGAAGCAACTGAGAAAGAGTGTTGCAATTTATCTGTTGATAAGAATGAGAAGTTGCATGACCAATGTATTCATTATTACCACCGTGTTTATGGTCATTTGAATTTCCAGGCTGTGGCAAAAATGCCTGATATGGTTCAGGGTATGAAGTTGAAAGAATGGCCCTACCACATGAAATGTGTTTCTTGTGCTGAGAGTAAGGCAAGGCAAGCCCCCAAAGGTACAGAGTCTAGGAGAGAGGCCAAGAAACCATACGAAGTCATTCATGCAGACTTAGTGGGGCCTCTAGCGCTCTCTAGAGGCAATTCAAGGTTTTTCATGGTTTTGATAGATGCCTATTCAAGATATGTATGGGTCTATATGTTGCAGAAAAAGTCTGAAGCCTTTACTAAGTTTTGCCAGTTTTGTAAATGGCTCAGAAATGTACATAATGAGAACGTACGTTGTATTTTCACTGACAGGGGAGGTGAGTTTTGTTCAGAGGAGTTTGAGGCTTTCTTTCTGAACAGGGCATTGAGCATAGGACTGCCACGCCCAGATCACCCTGGCAGAATGGTTTATGTGAGAGAATAAACCAGACCCTGCAGCAAGGAATCAGAACACTGTTACATGATTCGGGACTGCCCAATCCCTTTTGGGCCGAAGCTCTTTCGTTTTTCTGTCACGTGTATAACAGGAGGTACCAGTCCGCTGTAAGTTGCACCCCATACGAGATGCTTCACAAAAGAAAGCCATGTGTAAAGCATTTTAAAATTTTTGGGTCAGAGGTTTGGGTGCACACCTCACAGGGTGACAAACTGAGTAAGCGTGGAGAACATGGTGTTTTCCTAGGGTATGAGAAAGGGTTTTATCGTGTCCTGATCACAGACACGAAAACCATAAGGCTGACCAGGAGTATTGACGACAATCCACAATGGGACAGAGTTGGCGTTTTTCAGTACCATCCCATTTGTGATGATGGTGCAAAAGGGGCAAAGACAGTTAAGAGGGAGGCAAGTTCTGATGTGATTGATAATCCTGATGCCAATGTAGATTCAGATGGTGGCACAGATTACCAGAGCCCAAAAGCCTCAGGAGAGTCTGATGCTGATTCAGACTTAGCAGCTTCATATACTTTAGCTCCCCATTCTCCTAAAGAGGAGGAGGCACCAGAACAAGAGGATCAGAGAGTTTTGCGCAGATCCGGACCCCTCCCCAGGCATCTCCCCCTCCCTCCTGCGCCCCCTGACCTTTCAGGGCTCCGGCCCCCCTTGGCGGGGCGAGGAGGAGGGTCGCCCAGAGGCAGCAAAGGGCTCTTCCTCCTCCTCCTCCTCCTCTTCCTCCTCTGGGCTCCATCTCTGCAGCTCTTCCTGGGCCGAGGCGGGCGAGGGGCGATTCAAGCCCAAGTGTCCCTTGCCCCTTCCTCCTGGATGCTCGCCCTCCAAGTGGCTGTGGGGCGGGGGCGGCCAGGGGGCGGCTTTGGCGGAGCAGAAAAGTCCCTGCCAGCTCGGCCAATGAGAAAGCGCCCTGGCGATGACCAGCCTGTCTCCAGGTAAACCTTCCCCAGGCAGGAGCCTCAGCCGGAGACGGAGCGAAAACAGCAGCAGAAAAAGGGCAGCGAATATTTTTTGGGGGGGGGGCTGGATCTCCCCAAGAGGGGAGGGGTCTCCTCCAGAGAACGGGCTGCGGGGGCTCCTCTCTTTCTCCCCCGTGGGTGTTTCTTCATGGGGCTCCTCAGACACCAGCACCAGGGATGTTTCTTGCAAAGGGGAGCTGGGGGCTGGAGGGGGCTTTTATTGGGGGGTGGGGTCTCCTTACTGGGGGGCTGCCAGGTCTCCTCGGGATGCAGGCTGGGGGGCCAAGAGGGGGAGCCCCCTCCCTTAGGAGACAGTTATTCCCCCCTTGAAACTTCCTTCCTCGTTCCGGATACATGAAGGAACGAAGGTTTAGCGGCTTAAAACGCAACAGAAGAAAAGCGCATCTCGCTGTTTTGAAGCCTGAGTCTGAAATTCCCCTTTTTGCTGCCAGAGTAAAGTTTTGGTTGGAACTGACAGATTCTTGTTAAGCTTTATATCCCCCCCAAGGTTTTCTGGGGAAGATCTTGATTCACACGCGACGCAGCAACAATGGAGACATCAGAAGCAGCTGAGAAGGCAAAGAGGAACTTGCAGATCGAACGACAGCAGAGAGAGCCCTTGATAATCCTCTTTCCAGGAGTTCCCTGCCTGGCGACCGATGACGCTGCCTGGGCTCGGAGGCGGATTGGACGCTCGCAGGGCGGAGAGGTGGATTGGGCGGGGCCTGCAGGAGTTTCCCCCGGGGCTGAGCGGAGAAAGTCCCATTTGGGAGTCTTCGGGGGGGCGAAGAAGAGAGAAGGATGGGGGGCTCCGGCGCTGCGCCTTTGGCCTTTGGGGGGCTCCTGCTGGGGATGGGGGCGCTGGTGGTCTCCGCTTCGGAGGGGCTGGGCGTGGAGGCGCCTCCAGGTGAGCCAGGATTCTGCAATGGGGGGAGAAGGAAGAGGAAACTCCGCTTAGCGGGACCCCCATCGGTGGGGCTCCTTTGACGATCACTTGTAGATGGTCTTCCATGATCTTAACAGGGAGTCCGTAAGTGACTGTGGAACCAATTCTGGATCCACACGTCCTTCCACAGTGGGGACATTGGTTTCTGGGCGGGAGTTGATCCCTTGAGGGTTTGCCAGGCGTGCCTTCCTCTTTGCACGTTTCTCCCTTGCGTCCTGAGTTCAAGTGTCTTCAAAGTCCATGACGCCTTTGGTCAAGGCTGTTCCCCAAATGGAGCGCTCGCGGGCCAGTGTTTCCCAGTTGCTGGTGTTTATACTACATTTTAAAAGATTTTTCTTGGAAGAGTCTTTAAATTTCTTTTGTTGACCCACCAGCATTACGCTTTCCATTTTTAAGTTCAGAATAGAGTAGTTGCTTTGGAAGATGATAATCTGGCATCCGAACAACATGGTTTGATTCAGCGAAGTTGATGTTGAAGAATCCTTGCTTCCCCACGGGGGATCTTTGTTTCTTCCAGGACACCGGGGGCAAAGGGGCAGGAGGAAAGGGGAAACACTCCCCCCTCTGAAAAAGAGCAGCTCAGGCTTCTGGGATTGGGAAGAAGAGAGCATTTAATTATTGCAATTCATTATATCCCGCCTTTCAGGATTAAAATCCTACCCCACAGCTTACAAGTAACATTCAATTGAATTTTAATAAACCCACAGTATTCACACATTAAATAGTCTTCCTGCAGGACAGATGATGGCAGGCAGCCCTAGGGGACTTTTGGGGGGCGCGGGGGGGGGGCAGCTGAATCTGGCCCTGAGCGCTTCTTCACCTGCCTCTCAAAATCATCCTCATCATTATTAGTCCATTTATCTCCCATCATATCCAAGAGATCTTGTAACCAATTCTTAACTCTATAAATGATTCCACATACCGCATAAATATACCTTTTTTAACACAGGTATGTGGGGTGTAGTCAGGATTTTTGTTGGGGGGGGGGCAGGACTTTTGTTAGGAGGGGAAACCTCAGTTTGCTATGTATTTTTATTGGTTTTTATTGATGGGGGCAGTTGCCCCTCCCTGTTCCCCTTGGCTACGTCCATGAAGCAGCAGCAAAAGTGGGGCAAATGGCTCCCTGCTCCTGGGACCCTGAACTCCCCCCCTCTCGCGGCAGGCCCCCTCTCCCAGTCCCCCCCCTTGGGGTCCTCTGGGAACTGAAATGGGCTCCAGTGTAGACAGGCGTCACTTCCTGCTCTGTGGCAGGGAAAGCGAAAGTAAAACCGTGTCTCCCCCTCTCCTCGGCATCTCGCCCTTTTCCTGGTCTCTCCCCCCAAAAATTTCCTCTTCCAGCCGGAGGGCAATAAAAGGGGGGAGGGAGGTTTACATTTTAAAAAAACTGGAGAGAAGCATGAGCGTAGCCATCGGGGGCAGGGAGCAGCTGCCCCCTTAAATAAATTAAACAAAGCTTGGTTCCCGCCTCCCCGCATAAATCCTGACTACGCCCATGGGGTCCAGGGTCTTCGAGGTTGTGCCTCCTTCTCCACACCGGCCAGCCTCTCCCCCCCCCCCGCCATGGGATCACGTGACACGAGAGAGATACTGTAATGGGAGATAGAGAGAGACCATCTCTCTCCCGCCCGGTGGGGGCAACTCTCCGCTATGGTGGGAGCTGCGCCCTTAAGGCAACTGGAAACCGGAAGTCTCCACCCCCCAATTTCATTCTCTCCCCCCCCCCACAGAGCATTTCCTGCACCAGAAGAGGGCCGAGTGCCGCTTCTTCAATGGGACGCAGCGGATCCGCTTCCTACACAGTTACTTCTTCGGCCAGCAGGAGCTATACTACTTCGACAGCGACCGAGAGAAGTTCGTGGCAGTGGCTGAACTGGGGGAGCCCGAAGCCAAGAGATTTAACCAGGACAAGGACCTCCTGCGGGGCCAGATGGCCTACGTGGATTCCTTCTGCCGGCGCAACTACAGGATCCTCGATCCCTTCTCCCAGTCCCGGGGCAGTGAGTCCAGAATCGGGGGGGGGGGGCGTCATGGGAAACGGGCCCCGGAAGAACCCAAAATGGGGGGGATGGGGTGGACATGGGACTTTCTCCCCTCCCGACCCCCCCGTCCTCCCCTTTTCAGAGAGATAAAGAGGCCTTTCCTGATGCCCCACTCCAGAGGCAGAGGCAGGAGGAGTTTCTGTGTTCCTGGAAGCATCATAAACCGTTTCGTGTTGTTACGGTAAAATCCGTAGGTGTCTTCCCGGGCAAAGCGGCCCAGTGCTGGCTGAAGACTTCAGGGGCCCCGGTCAGCAACATGGGAGAACCGCAACACCCCACGTTGGGCGGCAAATATTACGGTAAAATCCGGGTGCGAGGCTGCTCTGCCACCCGGCTCGTCGGACTAAGTCCGCGGTCCCTGTGGAACAAAAGAGCGCAGCTGGAGACAGTAGCAAGATGCAGAAGATCCATGTTTATTGCGCAACAGGTTCAAGGCGAGATTGAACCCTGAGGATGGGGTGACATGAACTTTTAAAACTTCCCTCCATTTCCCATGTTACAGTGCAGAAACATCATCAATACATCATGGTTACATCATGAATACATCAAGAAAGGGTTGGGTTACACAGAATTAACATATGGAGGAGGGAGGGGGGAATATGCAGAGTTGGAGATATGCGCAGATAAGTACATCCTGAGTCAAATCAGGATGTACAATAGAGTCCAGGTTTGCAAAGTCTGTCACCTGGCACTGCCTGGAGGAAAGGCTTGGCAGGGTGATTTGACAGGATTAGGGTCTTCCTGAGTGTACGTGACATCTCGCTTGGGGGATTATGGAGGACACCAGAGGAGTCTTGAAGTCGTAGAGAAATTGAGCAGATTGGCACCGAAAGCAAGAAAATCAGTGCTACGGTTGATTTTCTATGAATTTTTGTGTATTTTAGTTCATTTAGGCAGTGGCAGTCGAATTCGGAAATAGCTGGATACATTGTAGCAAGATTTGACAGGATTAGAAGTTTACGAGGTTTCGGTTCCATTGTTCTCGCAGCGGGGAGCTGTCAGCAGCTTGTCAAAGGTTAAATGAGGCGTGCAACAGCTCGAGCTGAGCTAGCTCTGCAAGCCGAATGCATTGTTCTGATTGGGTAGAATGCTCCAGTACGCAAATAGGCGAGTTCATTCATAAGATCCATATTACTACTTCATACGGTTTACCAATGGAAACAATAGGGCGGGAGGGAGAAATAAGGCGCTCGGGCTTATTTCGCCCGGTCTACTCATTGTAACGAACGGGCGTAGGAACGGGAAAAGGCACTTTTATTCATGGGGTTTGGGGTTGAGTGTGGTGCTTGTGTAACAGTGCAGGGACTGGGGTTCCTGTGGGGTCATGTGCCCCTTGAGGTCATCGCCTCAAACCCTCTGGTGACTGGCAAAATGGGTGGAGAAGACATGCCCCCCCCTTCCGTATCAGTCCCCCATTCGGAGATAGATTTGCATCAAAGTTCTGTAAGAACTTGCAAATCCTTTCTCCGCACCCTAAATCTCAGTGATCTCATACTCCCCTTCCCCCAAGTGCCTCATTTGTACATACTCTGGGAAGGTGGGGATGGCTTGTGAGCGGGAATAAGCTGCAAGGGAAAAGGAGGTAGGTTGAGCAGGGCAGTGCAGGAGGGAGCAACACGGACTAATACAGTGTATAGCGCAGCAGAAGACAGAAATGCAGAGAATAACGATAATGACGGGGGGGAAATCGCTTTGAGTCAGAGCCACCCTAACTTTGGCAGCCAACCCCACAAGTCAACATCGGACAGCCCTTCATGCTGTATGTCATTCAATCTCCCTGCCAGTTCATGGATATTGTTTAAATGTCCAGTGATGTTCAAAGATTGGTCAGTCACATATGTACAACATTCAGCACCTATCAAGGCACATGTCCCTCCCTGGCTGGACAGTAAAAAGTCCGTAGCAATTCTCATCTGTAAACTAAGTTGTCTTACCTCAGAGAGTTCAGACACCAGGGAGTCCGTTATCTGGGTAGCTTCCTGCATGAATTTGAGGAGGATGCCAGTGAGTCTGAGGGTGTCAACGTGGTTAGATCCAGCTCCATAAGCAGGGAACAACGCTCGACCCACAGTTTCCCCATTTGCAGCGACGTCAGAGAGGTCTGACAGGTCCTTCTGCTCCCTTTTGTTCCTCTGTCTCCCGGGAGGCAGGTGCGGGATCACCCTGATTCGCGGGACGATGTATCCGACAAAGCAGGATCCAGACATGTGTGGGCTTATCCAGGTGTATGCGTGGTGTCCACACACCCAGAATAAGCCGCTGTGGTAGGATTCCATCCGGCCTGAAGCAAAGGTCTGTAATAGCATAAAGACCGAGTGTTGAGGTTTCCAGGTGGGTGGGTGAACAACAGCATTTGCCCAAGCGAGGGTAAGATTCGGAAAAGTCTGGGAACCTGCTGAATTGATGACAGTGACTTGGCCGGTGGTTGAGATCTCAAGATTGGAACTGCATGTACTGGACCCAATGGAGGTTCCTTCTCCGGTGAAGCGGTGGCAGAGGGGTCCCTTTGTTGGACCTGTGAGGTATAGGTACTGGTGTGTCAGATTTAGCGCAGTCAAGTTCCATGAGGTAACATCCCCGGAACAAAATTGTTCCAACGTAACTGGTACTGGAACAAGGGGAAGGCTCTGTTGGAGGTGGCTGGGTACATGGGCACAGATCCAACAGTCTGGATAGGGGGCTTCTTTGGCTACTTGACTGAGGAGTTTGATATAAGAGTTCTGTTCTCAGGATGAAAGGAGATCTTCCCCTGGGAAGGAAAGGCCAGTGCCAAGCTGCCGGGGCGCAGTACCAACTGGGTGCAGTGGGTCAGGGGTGTTAAGGAGCCGCCTGTCCTTTGCAATTCCTCCGCACCTCAGAGGTCCGGCATTGTCCCATACAGGGGAACAGGAGGGGTGTATAGGGTGGTGCCAACCTTCCAGATACTCGGCTTCCTTCCAGTCGTGAGTGAGTCCAAGGTTCCACAGGCAACAGAACTGCCTTAGACAGAGTCCTTGGAGTTGGGGTTTTCGGGGCTCAGGAGTCATAAGAAGGCATTGGAACCTGAAGATCAAATTTTCGGAGGGGTGGTTAGAGTCTGTGAACACGTGTGTGGCCCCTCCGATCTTGATCTCAGTCCAATTTGGAGCCTTTGAGACTTCCCTGTTGCCATAAAGAAGATAAGTTCCATTGTTGCATCTCAGTCAGTAGTATGGATTGTCAAGGGTGAGGGCAGCTGACCCTATACATTGCAGATTCCGGTCCCGAATAAAAAGTTCCCAGGATTGGTCATCGGTGAGCTGAGGTATTAGCAAATGGCGCAGCAAAGTTCGGGACTCAGGGAGACAGAAGTCAAAGTCCCCCATTTGATCGGGGTTCGACTTTCCCCCAGTTTCGATACTTTGGTAGTCTAAGAAATGGTAGTTAGTTTGTAATCCAGTACAATGGTCTGGCGCAAAAGCGGAGATCCCAGTCAGGGTGGAGAGGATAAGAAAGGTGGGGATTAAGTTCATGTTCAGCCTTGGAGTTGAGTAGCAATAGATTGTGAGTTGAGCAGCGGAAGGGAAGGGAAGGGAAGAAGAGGCGAGCTGTCAAATGCGGGGCTGTTAAGCGGAGCTGTCAGTTGAGCTGTCAGACGAAGGGCAGAAAGGAAGCGGCGAAGCGGTGAGTAGAGCTGTCAAAGGAGCTGTCAAACGAAGAGCTGTCATACGTGTTTGAAGCGTAGTTTGATGGCGTCGGTGTCCGGGACGATCTCGGAGGTCCAGTTGGGTGAAGAGGTGGTATCTGGTCCGGTCTGTTGGGCCCGATCCTGACCCCGATCTGGTCCGGTCTGTTGGGCCTGATTCTGACCCCGATCTGGTCCGGTCTGTTCCTCGTCATTGTCAATGTAGGAGGTCGCAGCGGAAGGCGGGGTTTCAAAGGTGTAGTCTTCTCTGTGGCTCTCCTGCACCTCCTGGGGTGGCGGTGCCACCTTGCACCTCGTGTGATGCAGCCACGCGTTCTTCTCTCCCACCTTCACAGCAGTTGGCGAGGTTAGAAGCACTTGGTAAGGGCCTTCCCAGGCAGGCTGGAGGGGCAGTTTCTGGTATACCTTGACCAGGATCCAGTCACCCGGATGGAAGGAGTGGGCTGGGACGTCAATGGGCAGGTTCTGTCCTTCGATCGCTGCGTACTGGTGGAGGCGTTGTAGTTGTTTCTGAAGCTGAATGACATAGTTAGTAAGTTCCGCTTCCCCCACCTCGAGTTCTGAGAGGGGGGAATAAGGTGTTATAGACAGGAGGAGGTCTACCGAATAGAAGTTCAAACGGGGACAGTTTTAAAGGTCCAGTGGGTGCACTCCGTATGTTATGGAGGACCAGTGGGAGCGCATTTACCCATTTCAGTCCGGTAATGCTGCAAAGTTTCCCCAGCTGTGCCGTCACTTCTTGGTTCATACGCTCTACTTGTCCAGATGAAGCCAGATGATATGGCGTATGGAGATTCCATTTTATTTGGAGAGCCCTGGCCACCAGTTGTACTACTTCGGCAGTAAAATGGCTTCCCCTATCACTGTCCAACCGACGAGGTACTCCATACTGGGGAATAATGTCCTGTAAAAGGGCCCTAGCGACTACTGAAGCGGTGGCTTTCCGGCAGGGGAATCCCTCCACCCAGGAAGAGAATTTGTCCACTATGATTAGGGCATGTTTGAAGCCCTGACATTGGGGTAAGTCAATAAAGTCCAGTTGTAAACTTTCAAACGGAACAAAAGCCCATGGTCTAGCTCCTGGGGGTTTCCTGGGCTCGCGCTTGGGGTTGAAGTTGTGGCAGGTGATGCAGTTCTTTGAGGCTGCTGTAGCTGCGGCTGCTATCCCTGGAGTGAACCAGGACCTCTTGACATGCTCTATTAGTCTTCCCTTTCCCTAATGAGTCTGTTGGTGAAGGATCCTCACTAATTTTGGAGTCCAGGCTTTTGGCAGGACGGTTCTGCCATGAGGGAGGACCCAGATGCCATTTTGTTCCGTCGCGCCCAGAGACCCCCACATGCTTTTTTCCTCTTCTGGAGCCAATTTGTATATTTGTGTAAGGTCAACGTCGGCAGGGAACTGTATGCCTTGGAATTCGGTCTCATCGTTTGGGGGGCGAAGCGTGGCCATTTGGGCTGCTCTATCAGCTCGTCTGTTACCTTTAGAGACTGAGTCCCTTCCCTTGGTATGCGCCTTGCAATGAACGACTGCTATCACACTGGGCATATGGATGGCTGTTAGCAGTCTCTCCACTAGGGCAGCGTGTGAGATTTGGGAACCGGCTGCAGTTAGAAAGCCTCTCTGGAGCCAGATCTGGCCGGTTGTGTGTACCAGCCCGAAGCAGTATTTGCTGTCTGTGTAAATTGTGGTTCTTTTGCCTTCACTAATTTCACAAGCGCGTATGAGGGCAATTAATTCTGCGGCTTGGGCGCTGTACTGCGGGTTGATAGGATTTGTCTCTAAGACTTCGAAGTCAGAAACCACGGCATATCCGGTTTTCCTCTCTCCATCTATGACTTTGGAACTGCCATCGGTATACAGAATTAAGTCAGGATTTTCTAAGGGAAGGTGATCTAAATCTTCTGGGGGGTTCTCGGCTTGGCGGACTATTGTGGTGAAATCATGGTGTGGGGTGCCATCATTGGGAAGGGGTAACAGAGTGGCTGGGTTAAGCGAGTTGACCCGTTTAATAGGTACATTTGATGGAGTTAACAGGAGGGCTTTGTATCGGTTTAGACGGGCATTCGAGAAGTGGTGACAGCCTCTCAGGGTTAGGAAGGTTGAGAACATGTGGGGGACATGGATGGTGATTTCATGTCCCAACATTGTCTCTTGTGCTTTTTCAAGGAGGATCGCAGCGGCGGCAATAGCCCTCAGGCAACTCACTGCTCCCTTTGCAGTATTATCCAGCTGTAGGCTGTAATACGCTACTGGTCTTTCCTGATCTTGGAAGGGTTGAGTGAGAACCTCTGAGGCTACGCCCATTTGTTTGTGAATAAACAGGTTGATGGGCATGCAGTAGTCTGGGAGGCCCAAGGCGGGGGCAGATCTTAATTCCCTTTTTAGACGTTCAAAAGAGTTATAAGCCTTTTCTTCCCTAACCAATTCATCAGGATGATCTTGGCGGGTCATGGCAGATAAGGGTTTTGTTATTTCGCTATAACCGGCAATCCAAGCCCGGCAGAAGCTGGCCATTCCGAGGAAGCCGCGCAGTTGTCGCTTTGTCTTGGGGAGGGGAATTTTGGTGACTGCTTCAATTCTATCGGTCGCTAGGCTTCGGGTACCTATCCCAAGGATATGCCCAAGGTACTTCACTTCTTGTTTACAGTATTGTAGTTTTTTTGGGGACACCTTGTGTCCCTTATATGCCAGCCCTAAAAGGAGGTGGTTGGTGTCTAATTTGCATGCCTCCTCACTGGTAGAATAAATAAGTATGTCATCAACGTAAAGCAAATAGGTGGAGCCAGCAGGCAGGTGAACGTCCTGCAGATCCTGATGTAGTATTGCGGAAAAAATCGCGGGCGATTCCGCATAACCCTGGGGCAGCCTGGTCCAAGTTAGTTGGCTAGGTCCCCAGGTGAATGCGAAAAGGAACTGGCTCGCTGGGTCTAAGGGAATGCTGAAGAATGCGGAACATAAGTCTGCAGCGGTATACCAGGTTGTCCCCGCCGGGATTGAGTTTAAAAGAGAGTTTGGGTTGCCCACCACTGGGTGGCGAGGTATTATGAATTGGTTAACCAGTCTTAAATCTTGGACAAAACGATAACGAACTGGGGCTCCCTCTGCTGAAGGTTTCTTTACAGGGAGTACAGGGGTGTTGCAAGGTGACGCACAGGGAACCAGGATCCCCTTTTCGAGGAAGCCCTCAATCATAGGCGTCAGTCCCTCTATGGCTTCCTTCGGCAAAGGGTATTGTTTGGTGCAGGGGAAAGGAAGGTCGGTCCTATAGGTAATCTTGACTGGGATGGCCGGTTTTAGAAGTCCTACAGAAGTTGACTGTGCCCCATAATGAAGGGGGCAGTTCGTTCTCTAGGGAGGAGTTCGGGGAATTGGTGGTCTGATCTAGCGTCTTTTATTATGCCTTGAAATGTTGGGACAGATTCTTCGGGCATATACCAGTATATGCCATCTCCGGAGCATTTTATGGTGGCATTTAATTTGCAGAGCAAATCTCTACCGAGTAAGTTTACAGGACTACTGGTCAAGAGGAAGGTATGTTCTGCCAGTAGGGGTCCGAGAGTGACTTTAGCTGGGTGTGAGAGCGGACAAGTGCGGGGTATCCCATCCAGCCCCATGACCTTTCTGGTCTCCGATCCTGGTTCGAGGTGGCTGTTGGTTAAGGTGGAATAAGTGGCTCCCGTATCTAATAAGCATTGGTAGGGATGGCCATCAATTTCAATTGTACAAACGGGGTCTTCTGGTGACAGTGCCAGAACGGGACAAATGGCTTGGGTTGGGTTGGGATCCCCTTTTAGTTGTCAATATGGCTCTCCATCTCCCATCATGTCGAGAGAAGGAGGTGGTTGATTTGGCGGGTGTAGGGGTGGAGCGGTAGTGTTGATCTGGTGGGGGTTAGGTGGATTTATGGTGGGCATTTGAGTCCTCGGACTTGGTTGCGGTTGGTGGTTCTGGGGGGGTTGAAGTGGAGGCATCTGCGGGCTGTAGGGTGCAGGGGGCGCTTGCGGGGCATAGGTTGTAGATGGTTGATTCCCATATCCCTGGGTTATGTTGGGACAGGATGGGAAAGGGGCATAGCTGGTTTTCTCGTAGGGAGGTTTGAATTCCTGCCCCCCCGTAGGCTCCTGTGTTAAGATATGGACAGAACCTTTTTATGTGCCCCTCCTCTTGGCAATGATAACATCCTCCGGTGGTGGGCCCCCACTGCCTGTAGGGGTTAGGGGGTCCTCCTCCCCGGACCCCCCTTCCTTGACCGATACCTCTACCCTGATTGGGGTTGGGTTCCATGCTCAAAGCTAACACGTGTTCTGTGTCGGGCTTGGGGTCTTTTCATTTCCTCTCATCCCGAGAGTTGTACATGGACTTGGCTATCGACAGGATCTCACTTATGCTTTTCCTGTCGTAGCCAATCTGGAGTTTAAGAGCCTTCCTTATGTCTGGGCTTGCTTGATCTTTAAAGAAGCCCTTTACGATAACCTCGTTGTCAGGGAACTGCCATCGGAGCTAGAGGCGGAGGGAAGGCGGAGGGAAGGCTCCAGAGGGATGCCAGAGAGGGTCCCAGTAGGGAGAGAGGCAGCCCTTCCGCTGGGGAAGGAAATCAGCGTAACACCAGTAGAGAAGGGGGGCAGATGGGGGAATCGGAGAGGAGGCTCCAAGACTCCTCGCCGGAGACCAGCGGAGAGAGTACGGGTCCTCCGCTGCCCACACCCTCCCTGCGGAGGGAGACTAGGCGTCAAAGAACTTTTGTGCTGGAAGAAATTTAAGAAACGCCCACTGACGGATTCTGCCAGCAACTGAGACAGTCACGATGCTAGAGGCTGTTCAGTCAGAAAGGGTTTAACCAGGTAACCTAGCCAGGAGTGGCGGCAACTTACGCACGAGCAACCCCTAAATCCATTACAGCAACCTGTCAGTCCCCGACGTTGCTTGTGCGCAGCTCCAGAGAGGCAGCACGATGAGCCAGACCAGAGGAGCCGGAGAGACGGAGCAAGCAGCTGGAGTGCAAGGTCTGGTAGAGAGAAACCGAGACTTGGAACAGCATGTAGCTCTCCTGACGGCGCGGCTGGACGAAAGAGGCACTCAGGATGCTCAGGTCAGGCCCACCCCCATCGCAAGGAAGGTACCGGGGCTGGTACACAAGTTTGGGGGGAAACCCCAGGACTACAATGCGTTCCGAACGGAAACAGAGTACGCTTTGGAACTGCAGCATGATGACTTTGCTGACGATGGGCAAAGGGTAGCCTACATTGTGGGGCATCTGGAGGATGGGGCACGGGAATGGATCAGGCCCCTTATGGCGATGCAAAATCATGCCTTGAAGGACCTTAAGAAATTCTTCCAGGCAATGGATGCGATGTATTCCAGTGAAGTGCAGCAAATTGTGACTCGGCGAGAACTGATGGGGTGCAAGCAGGGGAGCCAGTCAGTTAGAGACTACTGGTCGCGCTTTGCAATGTTGATCCACCGGCTCGGGTGGGATCTGGACTCTGAACCTATTCAAATGTTGTTTGAGGAGGGGTTGTCCCCAACGGTGAAGGACGAGCTGTCCCGCGCGCCCCACCCACAGTCGATGGATCAGCTGACCAAGGCTGTGCTTGTGATTGGAGTGCAGCAGGAAGCGCGGGCTCAGGAGAAACGCGAAGTAATAGGGGAATGTTGCCATGACTACCGCATTCCTGAAATACCGAGACAGCTTTCCCAGGCGGCTGAGCCAATGGAAATAGATGGCGCGCGCGCGAGGTTTCAAACTCCAGTGAAGGTCGCAAGAGGGAGGGGAAGGATTGGAAAACCACCAAGAAGTGTTTCCTCTGCCAACGGCCGGGACATTTTGCAAGGGTCTGCCCTCAAAGAAAGGCCTGGCAAGGGATGGTAGGGGCTGCTGGCTGTGAGGAGAAGGGGGAGGAAGGGCAGGCGCAGGGAAACGACAACGCCTGGCTGCCAACCAGCGGGGCCAGCAGCCAGGCCAGCAACCAATAGAAGTGCCCCAGCCTGACCCCCCCCAGGGCAGCTATAGCCATAGCAGTGGTGCTAGAACTCCCGAATGGGCACCCAGTCAAGGTTGAGGGGCTGCTGGATTCGGGCAGCTCCTGCAATTTCTTCAGCAGGGACTTCGCTTTGGAGCACCAACTACACTTGCTACCCCTGGATTTTCCCTTGCAAGTGACCACCATCGATGGCAGGGAACTTCTGGGAGGGGAAGTGACACACCAGACCCCGCCAATGCGAATGAGGGTTTCCAGGCACACGGAGACCATTGCCTTTCACGTGGCCACACTGGCAGGACCCCCAATAATACTGGGGATGAGCTGGCTGGCACTGCATGATCCAGTAGTGTCATGGCATCAGCGGTCAGTCACCTTTGGGTCAGCTTACTGCTTGGAACACTGTCTGGGGGGGGAACCCCAAGAATGACAGTGGCCAGGGTGGCTGGGCTGGCGGTGGAAACAAAGGGGGAGGTGCCACCACAATATGCTGACCTAAAGGAAGTCTTCAGCGAGAAGGAGGCGGATAGACTACCCCCCCATAGGCCCTTTGACTGCTAAATCAACTTAATCCCAGGGGCTCAGCTGCCGGTGGGTAAGCTGTATGCCATGTCGGACAGGGAGATGCAGGAGTTACGGCAGTTTATTGACAAGAACCTGAAGAGGGGGTTCATAAGAGAATCAAAGGCGGTGGGGGGCAGTCCGGTGTTCTTTGTGGACAAAAAAGAGACTAATCAGCCTAGATTAGTTGTAGATTACAGGGCGTTAAACCTGGTATCAGAACCCGTGACCTTCCCAATGCCCAGGATTGACGACATTTTAACACGGGTGAGGCAGGGGAAAATTTTTACCAAGCTGGACCTCAGGGGAGTGTACAATTTGATCAGGGTAAGGGAGGGGGATGAATGGAAAACCACCATATTCACCCCCCTGGGGGCTTTTGAGTACTTAGTCATGCCATTTGGATTACAATCGGGCTCCGCCTGCTTTCAAGCATTCATGCACCACGTGTTGGGGCCCCTGCTGTACAAGAACTGCGTAGCCTTCTTGGACGACGTCTTAATCTATTCAGACAATGAGAAGCAACATGTCAGAGACGTCAGGGAAGTGCTAAAGAGGCTGCAGAAGCACCAGTTGTGGGTCAAGCTGGAAAAATGCCAATTTCACACCAGAGAGGTCGAGTTTCTGGGGTACAAGTTGTCAGACAAGGGCCTATGGACCCAAGCAAGGTGCAGGCAGTGCTGGAATGGAAAGCCCCCCAAACCCGGAAGGATGTGCAGAGGTTCCTAGGGTTCAGCAACTTCTACAGGAAGTTCATCAAGAACTTCGCCCACTTGACAGCGCCCATCACAGATTGTCTCAGTAGCAAAAGGAAGTTCGCCTGGACAGAAAGTGCCCAGCAATCCTTTGAAAGACTGAAGAAGGCGAGGACTTCCGGGGTGGCGCCATCGGTAATGCCGGATTCCCTCTGACTTGGAGGGAACCGGCTCTGCGGAAATCGGGTCTTCACCGCTACGGCGAAGCGGGGACCCTTCAAAAACCACAGGCGGGTGAAGCCTGTGACCGTGGGACTCGGCGGGCACCTTTTGCGCCCCCAACTGGCAAAGGAGCCCGTTTACGGGTTCCGGAGCGGAGTGGGTAGTGGCGCGGTGCTGTGAGTCATCTGCTTCTTCCGTGGAGCGAAGCCGCGTAGCCGTTACCGGAGAGCGCTACCTTTTTCCTGGGACAATTTGGCTGCAAAACAATGATCCGTGAGTAGGCTAATTTCGGAACTAAAGGAACTTTACAAATAATTTGGCACCGAAGCGGAGAGGCATAAAAAGGAAGTCTGCCTTCCGTTCTTGTAAATGGAGTAAAGCAATGAACTTGTAAGCGGAAACCTTAAAAGACGTTGGAAAAGGATTATAATTCGAACATCAAACAAGCGATTTCCCCCCCCCTTGATTGCAGGGGAGGAGGGGGGAAAGGTCTGAACTGTATTTCCCTGCAAAAAAGAGAGTAAAAGAAGCTAAAACCCACCGCTTAAAACCCTGGAACGGGTTCCCAGTGAACAGTAAGAAAGCCGTATTGTGAAATGCGCTGTTGCTGAAAGTACTCTTTGACAGTTAACTCTGCATCTGAGATACAAGTAAGATACAATATTTCTGACTGGCTTCTCCTGGTTTTAAAGTAACAAGAAACAACTGAGATTGAAACTGTTGTCCTTTTTGTGAACTGGGGGGGCGAAAGGAAAAAGTTAATTACTTTAAGACATTTTTGACTGTTACTGTGTCCCCCTAGAAGAAGTTTGAAATTGTTACAATAGCAGCTGGGCCAAGGGAATTTTCCACTTCAAAACAAACTCTGATCGTGAGATTGACCTTGGGTTTTATCTTGAGGGTTATGACAGATGGGAAGGAGAAGATAGATTTGTTACAAGCAACGAGGTCTGGCAGACTATTTCGCACAGACGGTGGGCTGCAACAAAGAGCATCAACATCTGGCCCTTCTGGTTTACCAACAGCAACCTCATCGGCACAACCTAAACCCAAAGGTATGGCAGCTGACGATGCTTTGGCTCAGGCACTAGGTAAAATTAACGAATCTTTGGAAAGAATAAGTAAACAAGTAGCCGAGGCATCGGGCAAAATTGACCAAAACACTACAAGTATTAATAATTTGGGACAGAAGGTAAATACCAATACAGAAACTATTCATAAATTACTACAGGAATCCACCTCGACACGAAAGACAGCCGAAGAGGCAAAGGAAACAGCAACTGCTACAGCCACTGTTGTAGAAGAGAAGATACCACCGTTACACAAACAACTTGAAGACCACAGGTCAATATTGTCTATGATTGAGTTGAAGGAGAAACAAACGAATTTAAGGATTAGGGCAATACCCGAACTTGAGAAAGACAACTTGATTGACTTTCTTACGCAGGAATTTGCAGACTTTTGGAACCCAGATTTGGAGAAGGATAGCTTCAAGATAGTGAGTGCCTTTAGGCTTGGAAGAGGAGGGAGGAGGAACAGGGTGAGAGACTGTTTGATCACCCTCCGAACAAAAGAAGAGAGAGACAAAATCTTGAGTCTGCACTTCCAGAAGACCTTGGAAATACATCAGTCAAAAGTGGAGATATTTAAGGATATTCCGAAGTATCTTTTGGACCTTAGGTCCAATTATAGAGATTTGGTTGCCCTGTTGAGAAGTAACGGAATTATTTTTAGGTGGGAATTCCCCCAAGGCCTATCCTTTAGCTACAAAGGCAAGAAGATAAAAATAAGATCAGAGGACGACAAAGATAAATTTTGGAGAGACCACGGAGAAGACCTGCAGAAGGAAGTTGCAGGAGAGTTAAGAGCACTTGTAAGTGAAACTTTAGACATACCAGGTTTACCTCCTGAATTAAAAGACTGCCTGAAGAAGGGGATACCACCGACAGATCAGGAACAGGCACTGGGTGCAGTTGGAGGAGAAGCAAAGTAACTACATCATGGCTCTGCAACTACTAAGTTGGAATTGTAATGGTTTGAACCCCCTCAGAAAAGGAGATCTGTGTTTCATTTATTAAAAAAGGAACAATTGGACTTGATTTGTTTACAAGAAACACATGTAACAAGGCTACACAGGAAACTACTGATTAATAAAAGACTGGGTCAGGAGTTCATTTCATCGGACAAAGTTAAAAAAAGAGGGGTAGTGATTTATGCAAAGGAGAGACTATTACCGAAATTTATCTTCAAAGATGAACAAGGAAGATTCGTGGCAATTGAAATTCAACTACAAGGAGAAAATTTTTTGATAGTAGGAGTTTATGCACCAAATGAGGGGAAATCTGACTTTTTAAAAAAGTTGCATGAGACCTTGATGGACTATTTGGATTATAATGTGATTTTGATGGGAGACATGAATGGAGTGGTATCTACATACATGGACAAGGCACAAAGACAGGTAGTCACTAAGAATGGTAGACTACCGAGAACTTTTTTTGAGATGACAGACAACTTGGACTTAGTCGATATTTGGAGAACAAAGAACCCCTTGGCTAGAGAGGGAACCTTCTTCTCTGAAGCCAAAATGACATGGACAAGAATTGACCAAATATGGGTAACTAGAGGAATGGCACCAAAGACAAGAAAAGTGGAAATCTGCCCAAAAACCTGCTCCGACCATAATGCTGTTAAGATGGAAATGAAACTAACACCAACCGGTTCCTTCAGATGGAGGATGAATGACACCTTATTTAGAGATGAAGAAGTGTTTAAGAAGGCCCAAAAAACCTTGAGAGATTATTTTGAGATAAATATGAGCACCAATGTGGAAACAGAGTAATCTGGGACGCAAGTAAAGCTGTTATGAGAGGGTTCTTGATACAACAGAATGCATTAAAGAAGAGAATCCAAAATGAGAAGAAGGATAAAATTTTGGAGAAAATAAAGGAAAGTGAAAAGAAATTGAGAGCAAAACCAAAGTCGCAAGAGATTTTGAGAGAAATAAAGTTACATCAAGTGCAATACATGAAAATGATGAATCAGGAGATAGAATGGAAAATTAAACAAATGAGACAAAAGACATTCGAGTCGGCTAATAAATGTGGGAAATTGCTGGCTTGGCAAATGAAAAAAGACAAAAATTAAATACAGTTACAAATTTAGAAGTGGAAGGAAGGAATATACAGAACCCAGCTGAGATTAGAAATTGTTTCCAGAGGTACTTTAAACAACTATATACACAAGGGCCACAGAAAGAAATTGATGCAGACCGATTTTTGAAAACAAATGGATTACAAAAAAATCTCAAGAAAATAAATTAATGTTGAACTATAAAATAACTGAACAGGAGATAGAAGGTGCCATTCAGAATATGCAATTGGGTAAATCTCCAGGACCGGATGGACTGACTTCTAGATACTACAGATCTTTAAAAGAATGGTTAGTACAACCTTTGAAAGAAGTCTGCAACGAGATAATGGAGGGGAAAAGGGCACCAGAGTCGTGGAAAGGAGCGTATATCACACTTGTACTGAAAACAGAGACTGAAAAGACGCAGCTTAAGAACTACCGCCGCATATCACTGCTCAATGTGGATTAAAAAATTTTTTGCAGACATCTTGGCTAAAAGACTAAAAAGAGTGTTAGTGGAAGAGATACATAAAGACCAAGCAGGCTTTCTCCCAGGTAGACATCTATCTGACAATGTGAGAAACATAATCAATATTTTAGAAAAATTACAAGTGAATATAAATACTAAGGCAGTTTTAATATTTGTGGATGCGGAGAAAGCTTTTGACAACATTTCTTGGAGTTTTATGAAGAAGAACTTACAGGGTATGGGGGTAGGCCAAGGCTTTGAAAACGATATAAGTGCAATATATTCTGAAGAAAAGGCTAAATTAATTGTAAATAATGTGGTGACGGAAGAATTTAAGATAGAAAAAGGGACACGACAAGGTTGCCCAATCTCCCCATTGCTTTTTATATCGGTCCTGGAGGTTTTGCTGAATATGATTAGAAGGGACCAGTTGGTTAAAGGTATACATGTCGGAGCCAAACAGTACAAATTGAGAGCATTTGCAGATGACTTAGTATTGACGTTACAGGAGCCAGAATCTAGTACCAAAAGGGTTTTAGAACTGATTCAAGAATTTGGTCAAGTTGCAGGATTTAAATTGAATAAGTTAAAAACCAAGGTTTTAGAGAAAAATTTAACACCAATGGAGAGAGAGAGGTTTCAGAATGAGACAGGTTTAACAGTGGTTAAGAAAGTTAAATACCTGGGGATTAACATTACAGCAAAAAATGGGAATTTATTTAAAGACAACTATGAAAAATGCTGGGCTGAAGTGAAAAAAGATTTAGAAATTTGGTCAAATTTGAAGCTTTCACTGCTGGGCCGTATCGCTGCGGTAAAAATGAATGTATTGCCTAGAATGTTGTTTTTGTTTCAAACTTTGCAAATTGTGGACAAAATGGACTGTTTCAAGAGGTGGCAGAGAGATATTTCTAGATTTGTCTGGCAGGGCAAGAAGCCTAGAATAAAATTTAAAATATTAACAGATGCAAAGGAAAGAGGTGGGTTTGCCCTGCCAGACTTTAAACTTTACTATGAATCAGCAGCCTTTTGCTGGTTGAAAGAATGGCTGCTTCTTGAAAACACTGACATTTTGGATTTAGAAGGTTTTAACAATGTCTTTGGATGGCATGCATACTTATGGTATGACAAGGTTAAAGCACATAAGGCCTTTAAGAACCATATTGTCAGGAAAGCATTGTTTAATGTCTGGGTGAGATATAAGGATTTGTTGGAAAGTAAAACACCAAGGTGGTTGTCACCAATGGAGGCTAAGGCTCTGAAAAAAACTAATATGGAGACAAATTGGCCAAAATACTGTGAAATTTTAGAACAAGATGGAGATAGACTAAAGCTGCAGAGCTTTGACAAATTAAAAACTAAAGTTCGAGACTGGCTTCATTATTATCAAATAAGGGAGGCTTATAATTTAGATAAGAAGATTGGCTTCCAGGAGGAAAAATCAAAATTGGAAACAGAATTGTTAGATCCTAAAACTAAGAATTTATCAAGAATGTATAACTTGCTGTTGAAATGGAATACACAGGATGAAACGGTTAAATCTGTTATGATTAAATGGGCACAAGATTTTGGACATAACATTATGTTTGCTTACTGGGAACAGTTATGGACCACAGGTATGAAATTTACGGCTTGTAATGCCTTAAGAGAAAATATAATGAAAATGATTTACAGGTGGTACTTAACCCCAGTCAAGCTAGCAAAAATCTATCATTTGCCAGATAGTAAATGTTGGAAATGTAAAGAGACGGAGGGTACATTTTTTCACCTTTGGTGGACATGCCCAAGGATTAAGGCTTTCTGGGAAATGATATATAATGAACTGAAAAAGGTATTTAAATATACCTTTCTGAAGAAACCAGAGGCCTTTCTTCTGGGCATGGTCGGCCAGTTGGTGCGAAGGGAGGATAGAACTTTCTTTATGTATGCTACAACAGCAGCAAGAATACTCATCGGGAAGTACTGGAAGACACAAGAATTGCCCACCCGAGAAGAATGGCAGATGAAAGTGATGGACTACATGGAACTGGCTGAGATGACCGGCAGAATTCGAGACCAGGGAGAAGGGTCGATGGAAGAAGATTGGAAAAATTCAAAATATATCTTCAAAAGTATTGCAATATAAAAGAATGTTAGAAGGAGGTTGGAAAAAGAATATTAGGTCGTTCTGGTAGATATGATATAATGGAATAAGCAAAAATGAGTTGATGAAATTGATGAAATAGAGGAGGTTTAATTACATTATTTGAATTTTAAAATACGTAAATGAAAATAAGGTTAGAAGGATTTGCTGGAAACACGATCTGAACTAGAATACAAAATTGGGAGGTGAGAGGAGGTCATGGAAATAAGTAAAGGGAAAAGGTTATGTAAAGGTTTAATCTGCTTTTGTTTTATTTCAACTTAATGTATTTTTATATTTTTTGTTAAGTTTTCTTTTTTATTCTATCTTATTGTTCTTTTTACTTGTTTATCTTTTGCTCTGTTATGGCTAAAGTTTTCTTTGTATTTTGTATGGTTTTTCTTTTTCTTTTTTTTGTAACTTTAAATTTGGAATAAATATCATTTAAAAACAAAACAAAACAAAGAAGGCATCTGATTCGACCATGTGACTAGGTCTGCCGTGTAGAAGGGGTGATGTGTATATACCATCCGGGGAGCCCCATTGGGATCTAAAGGTTGAATTGGTAGAGCCCTTAGAGGCATCTGAACCGCTGTCTGGTTAGAGGTTCCTGGGGTTTCTATGGATTCATCTGATTGATTGGAGTCCTCTGGGGTAGCCTTCTTTGCCTTAGCTTGTTGGCGAGTGAGCACTTGACTTGCACCCCCCCCCGCTCCTCCTTCCCTTGATTACGTGTCACTATCTGCATTGCCGTTTGGGGCAGATGGTATCGGCCCTTGATAGTAGAAGGGAATCAGAGTTCGCTCAATGGAATCGTCTGCGGGGTGTCCCTCGTAGGGGGGGGGCAAAGGCTGCTTTCTGGGATTTAGCACGGGCAGCTGAAAAGAGGGGGAGCTTGAAGTAGTCCTCTGATAGCCTCAAAGGCGGTTAAATATTCTAACTGATGGGGCTTCTCCTCCATCAGGTATTTTCTTAGATGGTTTAGGCGATCTTCATTAAAAGAGCCTCCTGTTGGCCAACGTAGTTCTGGGTTTGCGGAGGCGGTACTGGTGGGCCAGGATTCTCTGCAGAGGTCCTCTAACTTTTGTCTAGACAGTAGCTTATGGCCAGGTATCGACTTCCAATAGGTCAAAACGAATTCAAGAGGGGAGTCAGGGTCTCTCTGGGATTGGGATGGCTTTCTCGAAGCCTTCCTGCCAGAGGGAGCCCGCTCATTTTTGGAAGCCTGGGTACCCATGTTTTAATCCACGCGTGTCTGGGGTAGAGAGGGGAGAAAGAGAGGGGTCGATAAGGATTTTCGGTAACTTGTACAGGGGTCTTTCCTACGGTTTTCCTATTTCTTGTTGCTTGGCAACTCCCTAGTGGTTTTTCGGGCCCTAGCTATCTGGTTACCTCCCCAGACCTTTGGCACTCGTTCTTCCCTTCTCCTAATCTTGGGGGTGCTTTCCCACTCTGCCAAATCCTGCCCAGTTCCTCAGAGGCTATCCCTCCTGGCAACCTCCTACCTATCGTCACAGTCTTAGGAAAAGGGACCCTACTGGACGCCCGCACAGCACGGTGCCAGATTGGGCGATCCCTGGATAGAGTTTTTGAACCGGAAAAACCCCCTTGCTTTCAGAAGCAGGCTCACGCACGATACATGTGTTACGTGGCTCTGACTGGTGCGGCTGGGGTTTGTGATAGAAAGAAAGACCCTTCCGACCCCCTTGCCGGGCGCTTGGGAAGTTCGGAAAGAGAGCTCCAACCACTTGCTTTCAACGAGATGCCCGTTGCGGTGAGTCGGGTTTTAAGCCGGTCCTCTCTGTTTCAGGCTCTCGGTTGGTGCGGCTGGCTGGAGAATTTGAGATAAAGGGATAGAGCTCAGAACCCCCTTTCGGGTTGAGCAGCGCTCCACGGTCTCTCTCAGTAACCGGACCAAGAGAAAGGTAAGAAGGAACGATAGAGAGGAGGGCAGAGAATTCAGTTGCCAGGAGACTACCACGCCCTTCCCACCAGTGCACTGGATTTTCCTTATACTCACACGTCTTCAGCTGTGATCCCGGGATCGTTGAATAAGCCGGCTGGATATCTCTTTGTTCCCCGGCTGAACTCCTGAGGCCGTTCGATTACCGCCCGGAAGATGGCCGGAGGTCCGGAGGTGTCTTCCCGGGCAAAGCGGCCCAGTGCTGGCTGAAGACTTCAGGGGCCCCGGTCAGCAACATGGGAGAACCGCAACACCCCACGTTGGGCGCCAAATATTACGGTAAAATCCGGGTGCGAGGCTGCTCTGCCACCCGGCTCGTCGGACTAAGTCCGCGGTCCCTGTGGAACAAAAGAGCGCAGCTGGAGACAGTAGCAAGATGCAGAAGATCCATGTTTATTGCGCAACAGGTTCAAGGCGAGATTGAACCCTGAGGATGGGGTGACATGAACTTTTAAAACTTCCCTCCATTTCCCATGTTACAGTGCAGAAACATCATCAATACATCATGGTTACATCATGAATACATCAAGAAAGGGTTGGGTTACACAGAATTAACATATGGAGGAGGGAGGGGGGAATATGCAGAGTTGGAGATATGCGCAGATAAGTACATCCTGAGTCAAATCAGGATGTACAATAGAGTCCAGGTTTGCAAAGTCTGTCACCTGGCACTGCCTGGAGGAAAGGCTTGGCAGGGTGATTTGACAGGATTAGGGTCTTCCTGAGTGTACGTGACATCTCGCTTGGGGGATTATGGAGGACACCAGAGGAGTCTTGAAGTCGTAGAGAAATTGAGCAGATTGGCACCGAAAGCAAGAAAATCAGTGCTACGGTTGATTTTCTATGAATTTTTGTGTATTTTAGTTCATTTAGGCAGTGGCAGTCGAATTCGGAAATAGCTGGATACATTGTAGCAAGATTTGACAGGATTAGAAGTTTACGAGGTTTCGGTTCCATTGTTCTCGCAGCGGGAGCTGTCAGCAGCTTGTCAAAGGTTAAATGAGGCGTGCAACAGCTCGAGCTGAGCTAGCTCTGCAAGCCGAATGCATTGTTCTGATTGGGTAGAATGCTCCAGTACGCAAATAGGCGAGTTCATTCATAAGATCCATATTACTACTTCATACGGTTTACCAATGGAAACAATAGGGCGGGAGGGAGAAATAAGGCGCTCGGGCTTATTTCGCCCGGTCTACTCATTGTAACGAACGGGCGTAGGAACGGGAAAAGGCACTTTTATTCATGGGGTTTGGGGTTGAGTGTGGTGCTTGTGTAACAGTGCAGGGACTGGGGTTCCTGTGGGGTCATGTGCCCCTTGAGGTCATCGCCTCAAACCCTCTGGTGACTGGCAAAATGGGTGGAGAAGACATGCCCCCCCCTTCCGTATCAATACACGTACAGTACTTGACACATTTGTTCATATGTATGAAGAGGACTCAGTTTTTGTAGCTGATTGTATGCAGCCATGCTCTCTTTATGTATTCAGATGGTGTAAACATGTATGTTGTCTTTAGATGCAAAACATACACACAGACACAGACAACACACAAGCAAGCAATACTCCAAAGGGATTCTGTTCCCAAAAGGGCAGGAGGGGTGTTCTGATCTCTTCACCACTTCTAATTCATCTCTGAGGCTTTAAGGGAAGCAAAAGAAGAAAGAAAGAAAAAGAAGACTTTCCCTTTTCAACTTTGCTTGGAGAGCAACCTTCTCCAGGGTTTCTCTTTCGCACTCATTTCCAAAAACAGTCAGGGGGAAAGGGGAAGGAGGGTCATTTTCCAGGTTTTCCAGCTTCCCCTTGCAGATTAGCATCACTCTGGTGCTCAGCAGATGCTTTTAGACTCTGGAGCCACCGGGGGGCTGCGGTCAGAGAAAGGCCCCCCCTGCAAGCCGGGAGCCTCAATTGCCCCCCTCTAGAGGCTTCACCCTGGCTAGCCCCCCTCCCCCCTTAACTATGGCCTCTCCTCCCTCCCTTGAAGCCTCCAGGTCCCTCCTTGCCTAAATCTCTGACCTTCCTTCCACATCTCCCTTGCCTCCCTCCCACAGTCCAGCCCAAGGTGAAGATCACCCCCACAGACAACGTTGAATCTTCACCACACAACACTCTGCTGAGTTGCACTGTGAACCGCTTCTTCCCTGCGGGGATCGAGATCAAGTGGTTCAGGAACGGGAAGGAGGAGCCCAAAGTGTGGACCACGGACCTCATCCGGAACGGGGACTGGACCTTCCATATTGAGGTGATGCTGGAGACAAAGCCAAAACGTGGAGACGTCTACACCTGCCAGGTGGAGCACGCCAGCTTCGAAGGCCCCGTCACGGTGCAATGGGGTAGGACGCCTTCCCAGCCCCGACCCATCTCCTTCCCAAGGAGGTGGGGGGCATTCCTGGGGGGCTAGATGGGTTGCTCCCCCACTCATGACTTTTTCTTTCTTCAGAGCCACAGTCGGACTCTGCCAGGAGCAAGATGTGGACGGGGATTGTGGGGATTGTGCTGGGGCTGGTCTTTGGGGCCGCTGGACTCACCCTTTACCTGAAGAACAAGAAAGGTGAGGGTGGGGTGCCAGGGAGAGAGGGAGGGTTGGGTGTGGGGCTGGATTGGGCTCCAGGCTCCCCTCCTCTTCTTAGGCAGAGGATCTGGAGAAGGTTCTGTTCCTTCTCCACTCCTAGGAGGTCACTCTTGGTGTCTCAAATGGAGCCTCAGCTCTTATGGAGATGGTCTGAGGTTTAAATCTGTAGATGAAGATCTAAACCTCCTATCCAACATATGATTGAGAAATTCAAAAGCATTTCTGGCTCTGAAGCCTTTGAGCAGAGTAAGGACACAGATGTTTTGAAGCTTCTTGGTCCCAGCAGTAAGTCAAAGGCTCTCTCTCCCTGCTGAGCAAAGGGCCTTTGAGACACTTACAGTCAGGAAGTGGAATTCATCTCCCTTGGGTCCTTGAGGCAGCCTAAGGAATATGGGGGGGGGGAGGGTTTGTGAGGTGGGGGCATTGGGTAATGGGAAAGAGATTAGTTGGCAATATGTTCTCCAGTGTCCTTTCTGTATTGGGAAGGAAATATTTATTTAATAAAAAGACTCTTCTTTCACCCCTCATACTCCTTAGGACAGAATGGGGGGGGGGAGTTCCTAGTTGTGCCTGGAATGTGTTATCTTGATCTTGGGGGGGGTTTGCCGTATTCCCAGAGAAGCTATTTCAAGGGACATCTGATGCTGACAGAATCTTTCTATTCTTTATTTTCTCTCCCAGGGCAAGCTGTTCCTCAGCCTGCAGGTAACTTTCCTCTCTGCTCTTCCATCCTCCTCCTCCTCCTCCCCCAACCCCCTTCTCCTGGCTGCTTCGTGTGCCCCCGCCCTGGCTTCCTTTCAGAACAGAGGGGAGGGGCTTCCTATGGATCAGTCCATTCCCTTGAGGCTCACACTCCAATATCATGTCCTGGAAGTGGGTCTCCAAGGGAATTTCCCACCTGGGAGACAGTCAAGCAAAGTTCCTTCGCAGAGGCTGAGTGAGGAGACCAGGGCTGGTGTTTGGCCCTTGGGGAACAAAGCTCTTCTGCCCATTGCAGGACATCTATTCCGGGGGGGGGGTGTCCTCTTTTGCCCCAAGGGCTGCATCCCCTCCTTCCGGGGCCCACATGCCACTGCTGGGCAGGTGTGGGTGGAGAAAAACATGCCAATTTCCCTATTGCTGAGTGGACTAGTTTCTGCCCCTCTCTGTTCTTGGTCCAGGCAAGCAAGGGGCATCCTCCGAGTTCAAGGGAGGTGGAATCACTTTCAGAGCAAAAAGAGAAGTCTGGGGGCCACATTTGGTCCAGGGTCCATGGTTCCCCATTTCTGATCTAGACAGATCTCCTTGGTCTCTTCTGAAGCTCCTCTTCTCCACTGCCAAAGCCAGCCAAGTCTCCCTCCCTCTGCCTCCTTCCCTCCTCAGAGCCCCCCCTGCCAGGCCCATAACTGGTGGCGACGGGAATTGTAGTTCACAATCTCTGATGGCCGCTCTATGGAGTGTCCCCCCAATCTTTCCAGGGATTCTTGACCCCTTTCTCCCCATTCCTTACCCCACAGTGATGGGCTTGTCTCTCTCTCCTCTGCCTGCAGGACTCATCAGTTAGACTTTGCTGATCCATAAGGATCCTGGGATGTGGAGAAGCTCTGTTCTTCCTGCCAGTTGCCCTCTGTCCGTGCTCAGAGGTGGAAACCTCCTTGGAAGGTGGATGGAAGGAGTCACAGATCAAGAATGACAGTGTCCACCCCTCCCCCACCTCTGTTGCTTGCTTGTCATTTGGGGAAAGTTTCTTTTTGTCTTTCCCTTTCCGCTTGTTGATTGCAAGTTATCACAACCTGATTGCTTCTTTGCACCTCTCTGCTAGAGAATTTGTGCCTTGAATCTCCCTGGAGGAGCCTGAGCTGTCCCTGAAAACAACCATGAATCTGGTCAGACTGCCAGGACTGGTCCTTCAAGCCCTGATGGGGAGCCTGAGCTTTGAGATTCCTCATTGCAGGAGGTTGGGCTAGATGACCTTGGGGTCCCTTCTCTACAATTCCATAAAATGCTAAATGGCCAAATATATTTATTGAAAGCTTCTCCCGACAGCCCTGTGACACGGAGGATGAGTCCCGTTTTTGGAGAGAGTCCCTGCTCCTAACCCTCACCCTGCTGGCTTTATCTCCTCAGGGAGAGTAGTTTGTTAATTTCTCTGTAAATACCCTGCTCTTTTGTGATCTTATGGACCAGCCCTCTGACTGGGATCCTCACCTGACCCACTTCAAGGCAGAAGCAGATTTCACAGCCGTGAGAGTATTTCCTCTGAGTCGCACCAGTGAAGATTTTCTTCAGCTTCCCTCTGTGGTCCTTCAACTATTTTATTTCTTTTAAATGTCAATATTCAAGTAGCGCCACACTTGACAATCCTGGGTGTAAGAAAAAGGGTTGATCTGCCTCCATTTCCACACAACTTCACCTGAAAGAAGGTGACCTTCTGTCATACCTCTAGCACTTCCCCAGCTTTGGGTTACTGACTTGTTTAAGGCCTTTTAATGTAACCATTCAACACCCCAAGGTGGTTTACCACACAAACATCCTAATACAAAAAAGAAAAGTCTGTTTAAATCCAGTCTGTGTGTCAGCCATCAAAGGGGAACTGATTTGGGAGCCATTTTTCCCTGGGAAAACCCTCCACACACTGCATGGTCTCCTGAGGTGATTCCATTATGAATTTGATTTCAAACTAGCTACAGTGGTGCCCCGCAAGACGAATGCCTCGCAAGACGGAAAACCCGCTAGACGAAAGGGTTTTCCGTTTTTGAGTTGCTTCGCAGGACGAATTTCCCTATGGGCTTGCTTCGCAAGACGAAAATGTCTTGCGAGTCTTGAGATTTTTTTTCGCTCCCCCCCCCTTTTCTAAGCCGCTAAGCCGCTAATAGCCTTTTAGCAGCTAAGCCGCTAAGCCGCTAAGCCTTTAATAGCCGCTAAACCGCTAATAGCGCTAATCCGCTAAGCCGCTAATAGGGTTGCTTCGCAAGACGAAAAAACTGCTAGATGAAGACACTCGCGGAAGGGATTAATTTCGTCTTGCGAGGCACCACTGTATTTAGGAGAGCCAAATGCCTTCTCTAGTGTTTCCACAAATGTGGACTTACAAGGGGAGGAAAAAAACATCTTTTGAATCCTCCTGTGACTAAAACTCCTGAGGGAATTTTCTGTTCCTCCATTTATCAGACTGTGGGCCCCTTGGAGGAGGGAACATGGAGTCTGTTGCCCCCCTGGGCATCCCTTCCTTGACCCTTCAGGCCCTGAGGTGGGAAGGATGCCAATCTCCACAGGGAAGCCATTTTCTCCTCATGTTTGGACTCCCTCAGGAGAAAAGAGCGGGAAACACCTCAGACGGAGGGAGGCTCCCTTGTCTCTGACCAGGTTCCTCAGAAATTTCCCTGCCTGTTCTGAGGGGAAAAAATGTCCGCCCTTTTCTCCACAGAAACTCTCCAGGATTCCCTAAGAGACTCCTCTGCCCTGTTTGTTGTTTCTGGGGGAAACTGACAGGAAATCTCAAGGTTGACCAAGGTCTGAGGGAATTTCCAGTATCCCCTCGGGACTCAAAGAAAAACATGATGGCTGTCGAGATAAAACCCCCACCTGCCACACCTTACGACCCCCCTGAAGTGATGGCACCTCCACAAACAGGAGCCCTGAGATCACGCAGATATAAAGATGGAGAACTGCATGTTTGGGTTGAAAGGGGGTCTTGGATCTGGAAAGGTTGAAGAGACCTGTCTCTGCCCCACAGCCGACTCATGAAGGAGGTCTGGCCGGCCTGACTGGGCCACATCCTGGTCTTGGCTGACCTGAAACACCCCCACCCTCTCCTGTGGGTTGGGCCCCATAGCCTTGGGGACTTGGAGGGGTCTCTGCCCATTCTCCCCTCTTCCTCCTCCCTCCTGCCTTAGGAAGAGATGACCCACGTTGCTCTCCTGACGCAAGAGGGAGGGGCTGCTCTCCAAGGAAATCTCCCCCCACCTTGAGCCAAGGAGCCCCTATTCTTTTAGCAGAGGGTGCTATGGGGCTTGCCCAGCCCCATTCCGTTCAGCTCAGCCATTCCCAAGGGGGTCCTTCCCTGAAATGGCAATTCCTCTTAAGCCATTGCTGCTGGGCTGAGGGGGGGCGGGGGGGTGGAAGCTACTTCTTTGTGAGGAGGTTTTGCTGCTCTCCCGGTTGACCTCCGTCTCCTGGATCGTGGCCAGCTTCCCTCATTCATTTCCCTGAATGCTGAGCTGTGCTCCAGGCCCCCATGTGGGGGGAAGCGAAACTCCCCCCAGCACCTTTCTGCAGCATCTCCTCTGCTGCCAGAAACAAGGGGGCAGAAGGAGGGAGAGGTGGGGGAGGGAGACATGTGCTATGGGCCCAGAAGTCCTGCTTCTGTCACCAGGGAGCAGGCTGCCTGGATCCTGCCCCTCCTGTCCAGGGACCCCTTTGCCCCCCTCCTCTTGGTCTGTTTCTTCCTCCAAGAGGCCTCCTTCCCAGCCTCAGGCAGGAGCTGCATGGACACCTAAATTACATTGGCACTGCCTGCAAGGAGAAATCTAGCACAGCAGGGATAAAGTGTGCAGGCCAAGCCATTGCCCCAGTTTCCTGCTTGCAGGGAGGTTATTCTGCTTCTCCTTCACATTGGGGAGAGAGCAGTAAAAACATGAAGCTGCAGCTACAGTGGAGCAGTCCTTTCTCCCTTTCTCCCGTGGGAACAGTTGTGGAATATAGATCTGAAGTTTACAGCCTCAGTGCCTCTGGGGGTCCACAAAACCCACATTTCTCACACCCAGTTTGTCCCTGGCAGCCCATCCCTGAGCATTTTCTATTCCGAAGTGATCTCGACCCAGAGTTTCCTCCTCCCTTTCTCTCTCTCTCTCTCTCTCTCTCTCTCTCTCTCTCTCTCTCCCTCTCTCCAGCCAAGGTCCTTCTCTGTGGAAGTGACTCCTCCACTCTTAAACTGAGCCTTTGCCCTCAGGTGTTGCTGCTGTTTTGTGCCACCACCAGGAACTGGGCCAATGTGCAAATCCAGGAAGCTCATGTACAGATAACCTGCAACCGTGGGCGTAGCCATGATTGGTTTTTTTGGGGGGGCAGGCCTTTTGATAGGGGGCAGAACCTCAGTTTGCTTTGTATTTTAATTGATTTTTATTGATTGGGGGCAGCAGTCCACCCCCCACCCCCCGGCTGTGCCCATGCTTACACACTATTTGATTGGTCCTTTTTCGAAGCATTTTTTCCTTCAGAAACGAGATGCAGAGAATTCCCACTATAGGTGGGGGGCTGAGTGCTGGGATAGAATTGCCTCCTCCCTCTTTGAAGCAGAATGCAAAATGCAGAGGCTGCCACAAGCTCACAGCTTGGAAACATTGTTGGTACTGTATTTTTCGCTCCATAAGGCGCACTAGACCATAAGGCGCACCTAGTTTTTTGCGGGGGAAATCAACTAAAAAAATTATTCTTCCCCTTCCCCCCCCCCCGCCCCAAAGAGCAAAGAAGCCAAGACAGCGAGCGGGATCCATGCTGTCTTGCCTTCTGCCATAGCTGCACGCAGCCTCTCCCGGCCGGAGGGGCTGCACGTGGCTATGGCAATACCCCTGCTCCCGCAAAAGCCCACAGGAGAAGTGCACCCTTTAAGGAGCATGCGGCTCCTGAGGGCTTATCTATGAGGAGGGAGAAGGGACTGACTGGCCGCGTCAGTCCCTTCTCCCTCCTGGGGAAAAGCCCGCAGGAGCCGGGCCTGCCTGCCTCCCCTGCATTCGCTCCATAAAATGCTCACACATTTCCCCTTACTTTTAGGAGGGAAAAGTGCGCCTTATGGAGCGAAAAATACGGTAATTAACGTGAAGAGTCTGCCATTTGAAGTTTTGCATTTAAGCCCCAAAATAGAAATTAGAGTGTTGGATTTCACATTTTACATGGGATGATTATTGACAGTGGGGAGAAGACAGCCTCTTAACTCCCCCCCCCCCCCGGGTAATTCTTTGAGGCAGATCTTAAAGCCAGAGCTGCTCCAAGGAACTAATTACTTGTTTAAAAAGTTCCTGTTTCGAGGGAACCTGAATGTCACAATCTCCACTTCTGCCTTGAAGCACAAAGCAGGGTTGGGGGAGGGGTAAAGGAGAGTTGCTATTGCTGCTGCTGGGGGGGTCTATAGTGTTGTCCTTCTGGGGACTTTCCTGGAGGGGAGGCTTGATGGGAGCCAATCACAGGTCCCGACGCTGCCTGGTCATCAGTTGCTGGGCAGGAAACGCGTGGCTCTTGCCAAACCCCTTCGAGTGCAGCACTTGCTGGTCTCTGACTGTGTCCTGGGCTGCTGAAGGGGAGGAGGAGCCTTTGATAAGCAAGAGGGAGGAAGGAGGAGGAAGACAGCCTGCAAAGATCAGGCCACCCGCACCCCACTTTCTCCCTAACTCTTTCCCTCTGGATCAGCCCTTCTCCAACTTCTGACTCTTGGGGATCAGCCCTCCTGCTGTGGAGGCCCCTCTTCACTTGCACCAGACCAGACTTATCCCAGATTTGAGAAATGTTGCCATACGGAAGGATCACTGCTCAGGGGCCCCTTCTTGCCCACTTGGGGTCTCTTGGCAATGCTAGACTCCGACTCTTACCCCCCTTACTGGTAGCATGTGTTCCTTCAGCTGCTTCCAGATGTGGAGAGTCAGCCCTGCAGCCTTGAGGGGCCTCCTGCTCCTTCTGCCGACTGGGGCCCTGGCCTTCTGCCCCCAAGTCTTGCCCTGGGGCACTCCTGCCCTGCCCCTCTGCCAAACTCTGCCTTCTGTCTTGCTGCATTAATTGACTCCCCCCCGCCCCGTAATTTGGATCCCCCTCATTTGAGATCCAGAAGAAGGTATGAGATTGCACAGCAAGCTGGGCCTTGTCTGTTGGCCTCTGTGATGTTCCTGCTCCAGGTTTGGCACCAGGAAGGACGCCTCTCCCAAACCCCACTCGGTGGTGTCATTTACCTTCTGGAGACTCTTGCAAGGGGGAGAGAAAGAGCTGAACAACCCCTTGCCTTAATTTATCTTAATGAGGCACACAAAAATAGGGGCAAGACAGGGAGCTACCAGGAAAGAGTGAATCCTTCTCTGAGGGTTTTAAGGCATGTTCCAGGCAACACAGTCAACTCATGATGGAGGTTTGGCCAGGCAGATTGGGTCACATCCTGACCTTGCATGTCCTGAAACACACCCCTCTCTAGAGTGTTGTTGCCCCTGGAAGAAGACCTTCATTCATCCACCCTGAATTTGGAGGGGGCCTCTGCACATTTTCTCCCGGTCCCCCCCCCCCCCGATCAATCACTCCAGTCTCAGGAAGAGCAGGTGCTTTGATCTGGTGAGGCATTTTAGGACAGGGGGATGGGCTGTTCTGTTCCTCTCATCTGATCCCCCAGAGTGGGGATCCACGGGTCCTGTGGGATAATGGTTTGGGGCATCACACAACCCACAGCAGGCCTTGAAGACCAGAAGAGTCCTGCCCCAGCATCCTGTTCCCAGCAGGGGACAGACAGGCAGACCAGGCCAAAGGCAGGGAGGCACCAGCGCTGGCTCTCCTGATCTCTTATCATCTCCCAGAATCTGGGCCTAGAGACACGAGGAGTCAGTGTAGCCACTCTGGTTGCAATGCTACCCATTTCCTCAATGGTTCACCTTTTTGCTTTGAAATAATAAATATATCCAGAGCTTATAGGCAGAGAAAACAGCACAAGAAACAAATCAACAAACTGTAAGATTTATTCATTGCTTTTGGAAATATGGGAGCATGTATGAAAAACAGCAATTGGGCTGCACAGAAGCCATTGGGAAAGTTTTGTGGAAGAAGAAGGGATATTTTCCTCCACACAGACAGATACAACCCTGCTTTATGTGGACAAGAAAGGTGTTTGGGGTCTCTTAGCAGCTAAACTTCCCCAACAAGCTGGATGAATCCTCTTTGGGATTAAGGAAACATCTGAGGAGTGTATTCCTGCAGTGCAATGCACGGAACTGAGGAAGGCTCTCTCCAAAAACTGGAGAGGGAGGTGAATGGTTTTGGGTAAGTGGGGTGGAGATATGAATTAGTACGCCTGACACTCTGTTGGCAGGGGGTCTCCTTGAGCCATGCAGATGGAAGGCGAGGCAAGCAGGGAACCTCCATAAAACTATCCTGACTCAACCATGGAGTTTGTGGGAGGATCTGCAGCCAAACCACAAGCCCCTCTGTCAGAGATGATTTAGGTGAGATTCCTGCACTGCAGGGGGTTGGACTAGATGGCCCTTAGGGTCCCTTCCAATTCTACAATTCTAGGATTCTATAAAATGCACGATTACTGGACAGCCAGAAGCAAAGGCACCAGGGAGTTTCAGAACCTGCATAGAGGGAGCTGTAAATTTTGCACCATGGCAAGACATTTAATGTGAGTAAACCATATACTTTTCCTATTTACTTAAACAGTCTGAGAGAAATTTCTTTGTTAAGAGGGAAACAGAAAAGGGAGAAAAGTAATGTAAGTCTGCCTAAGCATCTTTGGCTATCATAATTGTTCTTGAAAGTTAAACATATTATCTGAAAAGCTTCTAAGGATAAGCTGCACACGGAGGAAGCAACTCCTTCCAGCTGATTTGTAGCAGAAGAGACTCTTGGCAAAGGAGCTGAGCTGAGAGGGTTTAAGGAAGAGGCTGTCAGGAAAGGAATCCTCCATTATCTGAAAAGGAAGGAGAAGGGAGCTGGTGAGCTGGGAGTATGGAGGCTGAGCACCTTCTGGGCAGGATGAGGCCCACCCCACCCTTTGCTGTGTATTTTGGCTTCCCTTGCATTTGTCTCTCAGCCCCTGAAGGGAAACGGGTTCGACTCACATGAAGCCCCTGCGATTGTTCATCCTCATGGCCTTGAAGAAAAGGATGGTGCCAGCGATGATGCCCAGGATGCCAAAGGCCAAGCCCAGGGCACACAGCACGTTCTCCATCGTCTCCGGGATGGGAGAGGGCGCCTTGGAAACTGGGATGGAGAGAGAGAGGACAGGGCTAAGGGGGGACTCTGTTTCTCTCTGTGTGTTCAGCGGAAGAAAGAACCCAGGAGTCCTGACACACCTGCCCCACAGACCTTAATATACACTTTTAAGTTAAACTGAGAGAAACTAACTTAAGGAACCCCCAAAAGGCAGCTGAGCACCTTTTTGTCTCCCATGGCTAGAAGGAGCAGAATAAATTATGCAAAACTGCAAGTGTACTTCACTTGCATAAATTACTCTGATCATCAGAACGTGTTTCTTATACGCCATGAATCTGGGTTTCTGAGTTCAAGCCCCAGAGAAAAGGCCCAATCCTGCCCAGTGCTTACCCCAGATCTTCTCCATCTTTCCCTCTGGGATGCCCCAGTGCTCCACTTGGCAGACGTAGAGGTCTCCCTGCTGAGGGACGAAGGGGAGGTAGGAGAACTTGCGGAAAGTGTTGTCCACGCTGGGGTAGAAGTCTGTCTCTTCCACGCCCTTGGAGACCACCTCGTTGTTCTTCAGCCAGGTGACGTTCAGCACTGGGGGGGAGAACCTGTCTACAAAGCAGATGAGGACGTTGGGGTCCCCCAGTTCCACGGCATTTTCTGGGTACACAGTGGCCGAAGGAGCAACTGAGGAAGGAGATGGAGAATGAAATGGGATTAAAACCCATTTTAAGCAGTCTAGAAATGGAAAGCATATCAATTAGCTGTTAGGCTGATCTCCCCCTTTGTGTCCCCAGTTCATCAAAGAAACAGGCTACAAAAAATCTGTCTAAAATGTATAAAATGTTGCTTGAATGGCACACAAAAGATGAAGAGGTGAAATCGGTAATGATACATTGGGCCAGAGATTTCGGTTATAATATACAATATGATGATTGGATGAAATTATGGAATGAAAGGTTAAAATTCATGGCATGTTCGGCGTTGAAGGAAAATGTAATGAAAATGGTTTACAGATGGTATATAACGCCAGTTAAACTGGCTAAAATGTATAAAACATGTAATAAGTGCTGGAAATGTAAAGAAAAAGAAGGAACTTTCTATCATATGTGGTGGGAGTGCAAAAGGGTGAAAGGCTTCTGGGAAATGATATATAATGAACTGAAAAAGATGTTGAAATATACGTTTGTTAAAAAACCAGAGGCCTTCCTATTAGGATTGATAGGAAATGAAATTAACAAGAAAGACTGTAAACTTTTTCAATATGCAGTGACAGCAGCAAGGACACTTCTGGCCCAAAGATGGAAGCAGGAAGAAATTCCAACAGTGGAAGAATGGAGAAGGAAACTGACTGAATATGCAGAACTGGACAAGCTGACTGGGAAAATTCGATACCAGAAAGACCAAAAATTTATCAAGGACTGGGGGAGATTTACAGAATATCTGAAAAGTATATGTGATGTACAGACAACGCTTGTTGGTTTTGAAGAGACTCTGTGAAAAATTAAGAAATATTGTAAAAAAGGGAGTAAGAGGGAAAAGGAGTTTCTAAAGGCAATATTAAGCTTAGAAATGCATTAACAATGGAAACTTTAACAAAAGTTTGGCAGAGAAACTGAGGGAAGTCAAAAATTGATGAATGAGTGATAAAATATGTGTTTATTGTATAAAAATGTTTGGAAAATGAATAAAAATTATTATAAAAACAACAACAAAGAAACAGGCTACAGGCTGAAAAGTAAGTTTAACACATATATTTGCTCACACTCAAGCATTCATCCTCAGCACCAACAGCATTAAAACAACACAGACAAAATTTTTGATTTTACTGTACAGCAAAAAACAACTTCAGGCATGTGCCTGAAATTGGAGCGAGTGGGGCCCTGTCTGCTTCCATCATTGGTCAAAGGGAGAGAGAGAAGAAAATACTACTTCCTCCCTGAGCAGGGAGAAATAACATCACCCAAATTCCTCTCTACCAGTTACATTTCTATGGTCTGAGTCCCTCTATCACCAGTGCAACTCTTTGGACTTGACTCCTTCACATACTAACTAGCAAGAATATGCATTGTTAGATATGACTGCAAAATCTCCCACACCATGTGCCCTACATTAGCTGCTGTGGGTATTTTTGCACCTGGTGTTCAGGTTTGGGAATGCCTCTGAGCTTGTACAGAGTGCAATGCTGCCCCTCCCATCAGGTTTTCCTTCCCTTTTAGCCTGTCTCACTCAGCCAAGGACGGGCTCCCTCCAGCAGAGTTCCCTCTGGGGAGGCAGAAAGGGGTCCTGAAGGGTCTTCTGGGTCAGAAGCCAAGAGACCACCCCCTGCCTGCCCCCCAGCTCTCTCCCCCGCCCCCCTCGCGTGTCCTACCGTTCAGGGCACGGGTGCGGTTGCTTCGCTTCATGAGCACCTCCATGTTGTTCTTCATGACGGCGATGTTGGCCAGGGCGCCCTGCACCTCGAAGCTGGTGAAGCGCTGGAAGTCCGGCAGCCTCCAGACGTTCTGCTTCTTCTCCCAGTCCACGTGCAGGATCTCCTCGTTGTCAAACTCCAGCAGGAACTCCCCTGGACTTCTTCTCCGAAGGGAAGCTCTCCTGGAAGAAGTCCAGCTCCACCAGGGTGTCCTCCACTGCAGGGGTGGGAGAGAGAGAGGGAGGCTTTAGGACCCTGCAGCAGGATGAGGGAGAACCTGCCCCATTGCTAGGAATGAGGCCACCACCAGGAAGGCTCTCTAAGAAGACGGGGGGGGGGGCGTAATCTCCTCCCAAATACACACACATGTCATTTTTAGTATCCCCTAATTCCTGAGCCATAACAGCCCCAAAGGTTGATCCAGGGGGGCATTTGTGTTTGGCGTGACTCTGGCAGATCGAAAGTTGGAGGAATCCTTCGAGAGACCAATCCATGACTCCTCACAGGGTTGTTGTTAATATAGCAAGGAAGTAACTCTTCCCTGAGCTCCTTGCCCCAAAGTGAAACCAAGAATACAAAGATTTCCTCCGTGTTTAGAAGGGTTCTGCTCAGAGATTTCTTTTAGGGTCCACCGAAGTTTCTGGCCCCTTTTGTGTTGCTGGGGAGGAAAGAGACCACTCTGTCTTGGGGGGTGGGGCATTAGGGATGTGGGGGACTGGTCCCTTTTGGAGGCGACCACTGGGGGCTTCCGGACTAGGCAGGTCTATAAAGGAGAAAGAACAATTCTTGTTTATAAGGTTTTTGCTCAGAGTTTATAAGGGTTTTGCTTAGAGATTTCTGGCCCCTTTTGTGATGCTGGGGAGGAGAGAGACCACTCTGTCTTGGGGGGGGCATTAGGGATGTGGGGGCTGATGCCTTTTGGGGGCGACCACTGGGGGCTTCTGAACCAGGCAGGTCTCTGTGACAGCCTAGTCTATAAAGGAGAAAGAACAATTCTGCTTTTATCTCCCTTTCCCTCCTCCTAACAGGAAAGGCTAGAGGCACAAATCCCGAACTTTGAAGCAAGGAGGTGTGGGGGGTGGGGGGGGTTTGCACCCTGTCCTCCCCCCCTTTTAAACCCCTGGACCAGCTTAGTTGAGGGTTCAGATCCTCCCTCCCCTCCCTCGTGTTTTGGGGCGTCCAATTCCCTTCCTCCCCCCATCCCTCCGTATTCCCGGGTGTACCTTCTGCCCCTGTCAAGGGGAGGGGGCTTCTCCTCCCTGTAGCCCACAGGCATCGCTCAGGGGCGCAATCTTTCTCCCCCAGCCCCCCTCCTGGGACCCCTCCCCAGATATCTCCCCCTCCCTCTGCGCCCCCTGACCTTTCAGGGCTTCCACCCTTGGCGGGGCGAGGAGGAGGGTCGCCCAGAGGCAGCAAAGGGCTCTTCCTCCTCCTCCTCTTCCTCCTCTGGGCTCCATCTCTGCAGCTCTTCCTGGGCCGAGGCGGGCGAGGGGCGATTCAAGCCCAAGTGTCGCTTGCCCCTTCCTCCTGGATGCTCGCCCTCCAAGTGGCTGTGGGGCGGGGGCGGCCAGGGGGCGGCTTTGGCGGAGCAGAAAAGTCCCTGCCAGCTCGGCCAATGAGAAAGCGCCCTGCCGATGACCAGCCTGTCTCCAGGTAAACCTTCCCCAGGCAGGAGCCTCAGCCGGAGACGGAGCGAAAACAGCAGCAGGAAAAGGGCAGCTGATATTTGGGGGGGGGCTGGATCTCCCCAAGAGGGGAGGGGTCTCCTCCAGGGAAGGGGCTGCGGGGGCTCCTCTCCGTCTCCCCCCTGGGTGTTTCTTCATGGGGCTCCTCAGACACCAGCGCCAGGGATGTTTCTTGCAAAGGGGAGCTGGGGGCTGGAGGGGGCTTTTATTGGGGGGAGGGGTCTCCTTATTGGGGGGCTGCCAGGTCTCCCCGGGATGCAGGCTGGGGGGCGAAGAGGGGGAGCCCCTCCCTCAGCAGACAGTTCTTCCCCCCTTGAAACTTCCTTCCTCTTTCTGGATACATGAAGGAACGAAGTTTAGCGGCTTAAAACGCAGCAGAAGAAAAGCGCATCTCGCTGTTTTGAAGCCTGAGACTGAAATTTCCCTTTTCGCTGCCAGAGGAAAGTTTTGGATGGAACTGACAGATTCTTGTTAAGCTTTATATCCCCGCAAAGGTTTTCTGGGGAAGATGTTTATTCACCCGCGACGCAACAACAATGGAGACATCAGAAGCAGCTGAGAAGGCAAAGAGGAACTTGCAGGTCGAGCGAGAGCAGAGAGAGCCCTTGCTAATGCTCTTGCCAGGAGTTCCCTGCCTGGCGACCGATGACGCTGCCTCGGCTGGGAGGCGGATTGGACGCTCGCGGGGCGGAGAGGCGGAGTGGGCGGGGCCTGCAGGAGTTTCCCCCGGGGCTGAGCGGAGAAAGTCCCATTTGGGAGTCTTCGGGGGGCGAAGAAGAGAGAAGGATGGGGGGCTCCGGCGCTGCGCCTTTGGCCTTTGGGGGGCTCCTGCTGGGGATGGGGGCGCTGGTGGTCTCCGCTTCGGAGGGGCTGGGCGTGGAGGCGCCTCCAGGTGAGCAAAGAGTCTGCAATGGGGGGAGAAGGAAGAGGAAACTCCGCTTAGCGGGACCCCCATCGGTGGGGCTCCTTTGACGATCCCTCGTAGATGGTCTTCCATGATCTTAACAGGGAGTCCGTAAGTGACTGTGGAGGCCAATTCTGGATCCCCACGTCCTTCCACAGTGGGGACAGAGGTTTTTTTTGGGGGGGGGGGAATTGATCCCGTGAGGGTTTGCCAGGCGTGCCTTCCTCTTAGCACTTTCTCCCTTGTGTCCTGAGTTCGAGTGTCTTCAAAGCCCATGACACCTTTGGTCAAGGCTGCTCTCCAATTCGAGCGCTTGCAGTCCAGTGTTTCCCAGTTGTCGGTGTTTATACTACATTTTGTTAGATTTGCCTTGAGAGAATATTTTAACCTCTTTTGCTGACCACCAGCATTACACTTTCCGCTTTTAAGTTAGGACTAGAGTAGCTGCTTTGGAAGGCGATAATCAGGCGTCCGAACAACATGGTTTAGTTCAGCGAAGTTGATGCTGAAGAATCCTTGCTTCCCCACGGGGGATCTTTGCTTCTTCCAGGACACTGGGGGCAAAGGGGCAGGAGGGAAGGGGAAACACTCCCCCCACTGAAAAAGAGCAACTCAGCCTTCTTGGCCTTGAAAGGAGAAAGCATTTAATTATATCCCAGCTTTCAGGATTAAAATCCTACCCCAGCAGCTTACAAATAATATTCAATTTAATTTTAATAGAACCACAATATTCACACATTAAATAGTCTTCCTGCAGGACAGCTGATGGCAGGCAGCCCTAGGCGACTTTTTGGCGGGGGGGGGGCAGTTGAATCTGGCCCTGAGGTCTTCTTCACCTGCTTCTCAAAATCATCCTCATCATTATTAGTCCATAACCAATTATTAAGTCTATAAAGGACTACACATAAGGCATAAATATACCTTTCATCTGCTCTTTCTCAATAATAAGAAACCCAGGCAAGTGCGTAGTCAGGATTTTTGTTAGGGAGGGGCAGAACCTCACTTTGCTATGTATTTTTATTGATGGGGGGCAGCTGCCCCTCCCTGTTCCCCTTGGCTACGCCCATGGAGCAGCAGCGAAAGTGGGGCAAATGGCTCCCTGCTCCGGGGACCCTGCACTCCCCCCCCCCTCGCGGAATGTCCCCTCTCCCCGTCCCCCCCCCCTCGCCTTGGGGTCCTCTGGGTGCTGCAATGGGCTCCTGCGTAGACTGGCGTCGCTTCCTGCGCTCTGGCAGGGAAAGCGAAAGTGAAACCGGGTCTACCCGGTAGAGGGGGTCTCGTTGGGGGGGGGGGTTTGCAGTGAAGCCCCCTTCAGCGTCTCCCACCCTCCTCGGCATCTCGCCCCTTTCCTGGTCTTTCTCCCACCCCAACATTTCTTCTTCCAGACGGAGGGCAATAAAAGGGGGAGGGAGGTTTACGTTTTTGTTTTAAAGAAACTGGAGATAAGCATGGGCGTAGCCATCGGGGGGCAGGGAGCAGCTGCCCCCCCCCTAAATAAATTAACTAAATAAAGCAGATAGCTTGCTTCTGTCCCCCTCCCCAATAAATCCTGGCTACGCCCATGGGGTCCAGGATCTTGGAGGTTGTGGCTCCCTCTCCACAACGACCTTTCGCTATCGCTCTCTCCCTTTCCTTTGGGAGGAGGTCAAAGGGGGGGGGTCTCGCTGCTCAGGCTCCCCCCCCCCCGGCCATGGGATCACGTGACATGAGAGAGAGAATGGGAGACAGACAGACCATCTCTCTCCTGCCCTGCAAGGGCAACTATCCGCTTTGGTGGGAGCTGCGCCCTTAAGGCAACTGGTAAACCGGAAGTCTCCACCCCCCAATTTCATTCTCCCCCCCCCCAGAGCATTTCCTGTACCAGGGGAAGCACGAGTGCCACTTCTCCAACGGGACGCAGCGGATCCGCTACCTAGAAAGGCACTTCTTCGACCGGCAGGAGCTCGCCTACTTCGACAGCGAGCGAGGGAAGTTCGTGGCTGTGGCTGAACTGGGGGAGCCCACAGTCAAGGCATGGAACCAGGACAAGGACCTCCTGCGGGGCGAGATGGCCGCCGTGGATTCCTTCTGCCGGCACAACTACGAGATCCACGCGCCCTTCGCCCATTCCCGGCGCGGTGAGTCCAGACTCGGAGAGGGGGGGGCGTCATGGCAAACGGGCCCCCGGAAGAACCCAAAATGGGGGTGGGGGTGGGGTGTACACGTGACTTTCTCCCCTCAAAGCCCCTGTCGCTGCTGCCGCCCCCCCCCCCGGGCCCCCACCGCCCTCCCGCTTTTGAGAGAGGAAGAGGGGCCTTTCCTGATGCCCCACTCCAGAGGCAGAGGCAGGAGGCGTTTCTGTGTCCCTGGAAGCATCATAAACCATTTCATGTATTGCAATGTGGAGGGTGTCTGTCGTAGTTTATTTATTTATTATTCATTAAATTCGCATCCCGCCCTATACCAGTAGGTCTCTGGGCAGCTTGCAACACAAAAGTGCAGTATTTACAATAATAATAATAATAATAAATAACAACAAACAACAATAATAACAATAATCATAGAAGTAATGATTTTATTATTATTAATAACCCATCTAGCTGGGTTTCCCCAGTCACTCTGGGTGGCTCCCGACAGAATTAAAAGCACAATAGAACATTATAAACTTCCCTAAACTTCATTTACTGCCTGTGATGTCTATGGTTCTCCCTCTCCTCATCCCACCCCCACAACGACCCTGTGAGGGAGGCCAGGCTGAGGGGGGGGGGCTGGCCAGGGACACCCAGGAGACTCAAGGCCCAGGGGGGATTTGAACCCGGGACCCAGTCCAATGCTGGACTACATTAGAGTGGGGGGCTGCAAGGGGGAATAGGCAGCCTTTCAGGGGGAGGAGAGAGCGCATTTCAAGCAGAAACCCTGAACATTATTAAAGTACAAAATGATGTTATTTGGACATCACTCAACAATTGTGACGCCTTAGCATGTCATTTCTTGCACTCCTGACATGGATTCAGGTCAGGCTGCCATATGTCCAGGTTTTCCAGGGAATCGAGGTGTTTAAATTGGGGGGGGGGGTTTAGAAATTAACCCCACAATCTCAAAATCACACACATTCAGGATTAAATAATTATTATTATAAACATGGTCCATTTCCTTCCCACCCACTCATTACTGTTTTCAGCCACCAGGCTCCCCTCCAGCTCCCCCGTTCTCCAGGGATCATCCCTAAATCAAAAGTATATTGAAAGGAAAATTACTATAATCACTTGGGGGGTGCTTGTGGATTTGCATAACATCTGCTCTATATCACACACAAATTGATGTGCTGTTTTTCAGTTGGAGTGAAGGGCCCATAAATAAATTGGTGGTCTCTCTCTCTCTCTCTCTCACACACACACACACACACACACACACACACACATATATACAGATGTCTGACAGGTGAAGCTTTCCCAATAATTGCATTTCTACAGGAGAAAAAGGGCTTAACCTGCTGAATTTCTGCCTTCCACTCAGCTCTAAAAGGCACAAGAACCTCAGCTGTCTTTGTGCAATTCCCATCATCCCTAGCGAGCAGGACCAGTGGTCAGGGAGGATGGGAATTGTAGTCCAGAAAGAGTTGGCAACCCAAGTGTGGGAAACACTGAGGAGACCATTGTAGTGTTAAGTGAAGGATACTGTGCAGTGAATTCTGAAGATCATCCTGTTTGCCAGGAAAAAAGGAAGGACAAATTCCTGAGATTCCCAGGACTCGGAAATGAGACGGAAGGATGGAAAGTGTCCTAGGAAGGGGAGGGGCATCCCAGGACCCCCAGGGAGGAGCAGTTCCCTGTTTGTGGAATGCCCAGTCTGACCCCTGGGGAAACTGGGCTGACTTTGGGTAGATTGGGGGGAGGGTCAGAGATCCCACTGGTGGGAGTGGGAAGTTGGGGGCTGGGAGCGTAGGATTGACTGACTGTTCCGGCGGGGGGGCAACCTGGGCTTTCTGTCACCCGGGCAAAGACCCAGTTTTGTCACACACCCCCCATGTGTATTTGCATACACACACAAAACTTGACACATTTGTTCATAAAGGGCATAAAAAGAGGCTGGAGAAGAGATAGTCTCTCCAAATAGTAAAATTGTCTGTGTGTGTATCTGGCTTTCATTCACCCTTAAGTAGATCTCCTCAGAGAGTAGTAGATAATTTGAGGAATTCTAAGGAATATCATGACTGTAAAGAATAATAATAATAATAATAATAATAATAATAATAATAATAAATAGACTGTGATAATGATCAGGCACATAAATAAAGGTAAAGGGACCCCTGACCATTAGTCGTGGCCGACTCTGGGGTTGTGGCGTACATCTTGCTTTCCTGGCCGAGGGAGCCGGCGTACAGCTTCCGGGTCATGTGGCCAGCATGACTAAGCCGCTTCTGGCGAACCAGAGCAGCGCACGGAAATGCCGTTTACCTTCCCGCCAGAGCGGTACCTATTTATCTACTTGCACTTTGATGTGCTTTCAAACTGCTAGGTTGGCAGTGATAATGATCAGGCACATACCAGAGAGTAAGTCCTACTGAACTCAGTGCGGCTTACTTCTGAGTAAAAATGCTTGATTGCAGTATAAGACTGCAGAATCTTTACACAGTTATCTCGGAGTAAGCTCCATTGAATTCAGTGGGACTTCTGAGTAGTAAAGGCAGTTTAAGGCTGCGGTCAGAGAAAGGGCCCCCCCTGCAAGCTGGAAGCCTCAGTTGTGCCCCTCTAGAGGCTTCACCCTGGCTAGCCCCCTCCCACGTTAACTATGGCCTCTTCCCCCTCCCTTGAAGCCTCCAGGTCCCTTCCTGCCTAAATCTCTGACCTTCCTTCCACATCTCCCTTGCCTCCCTCCCACAGTCCAGCCCAAGGTGAAGATCACCCCCACAGACAACGTTGAATCTTCACCACACAACACTCTGCTGATTTGCACCGTGAACCGCTTCTTCCCTGCGGGGATCGAGATCAAGTGGTTCAGGAACGGGAAGGAGGAGCCCAAAGTGTGGACCACGGACCTCATCCGGAACGGGGACTGGACCTTCCATATTGAGGTGATGCTGGAGACAAAGCCAGAACGTGGAGACGTCTACACCTGCCAGGTGGAGCACGCCAGCTTCGAAGGCCCCGTCACGGTGAAATGGGGTAGGACGCCTTCCTACTGGGAGTGGGGGGCATTCCTGGGGGGCTGGGTGGGTTGCTCCCCCCTCAGGGGGCTGATCCCAGGCCTTCCTTTCCTCACTCGCAGCTTTTTCTTTCTTCAGAGCCACAGTCGGACTCTGCCAGGAGCAAGATGTGGACGGGGATTGTGGGGATTGTGCTGGGGCTGGTCTTTGGGGCCACTGGACTCGCCCTTTACCTGAAGAACAAGAAAGGTGAGGGTGGGGTGCCAGGGGGAGAGGGAGGGTGGGGTGTGGGGCTGGATTGGGCTCCAGGCTCCCCTCCTCTTCTTAGGCAGAGGCTCTGGAGAGGGTTCTGTTCCTTCTCCACTCCTAGGAGGTCCCTCTGGGTGTCTCCAATGGAGCCTCAGCTATTATGGAGATGATCTGAGGTTTAAACCTGTAGATTAAGACCTAATCCTCCTATCCAACATATGAGGGAGAAATTCAAAAGCATCTCTGGCTCTGAAGCCTTTGAGCAGAGTAAGGACACAGATGTTTTGCAGCTTCCTGGTCCCAGCACTAGTAATTAGGAATTAAATTTGGGATTGGATGACCTCCCCCTCTTCATCCCACATTGCAGAGAATGAACCATACATCTACAGATAAATGGAAAGAAATGTTTACTTACATTTGATTGCAGGCAACATACACAGCATAAAATAGTATGCCAACTAATACTGCTAAGTTGCATTAAAATAAAAATTGGTAGTCTTAGCTAAGATGGTAGAGAGTTGAGCTTTGGAGAGGAAGGAAGTATTAACGAATATGTTCCTATTGTTCGCTTCCTACCCTGTGCAAACAAGAGGATATGACCTGACAGAATGCGGTCTAGGATTTTTACAGGAGATTCTGTGTGCCTTAACCCTTGCTTATCTAGCAAATAGGAAATTTTATTTTATGAATAGAGTATCATTTTATCACATAAACGGCTCCAGGGCTAGAATTACCTGCAGGATCTCTTAAGAGGCTGACTTCCTGGTCCCAGCAGTAAGTCAAAGGCTCTCTCTCCCTGCTGAGCGAAGGGCCTTTGAGACACTTACAGTCAAGAGGCGAAATTCATCTTCCTTGGGTCTTTTCACTGTTTGTGTCTCTGAAATAAATCAACAACTGGGCAATGTAGAGCCCCAAAGGAGGCAGCTAAGGGAATATGGGAGGGTTTGTGGGGTGGGGGCATTGGGTAATGGGGAAGAGATTAGTTGGCAAGATGTTCTCCAGGGTCCTTTCTGTACTGGGAAGGAAATATTTATTTCCTACAAAGACTCTTCTTTCACCCCCTTATACTCCTTAGGACAGAATGAGGGGGGGGGGAGTTCCTAGCTGTGCCTGGAGTGTGTCATCTTGATCTTGGGGGGGGGGGAGGGTGTTCCCAGAGAAGCTATTTCAGGGGATATCTGGTGCTGACTGAATCTTTCTATTCTTTTTTTCTCTCCCAGGGCAAACTGTTCCTCAGCCTGCAGGTAACTTTCCTCTCTGCTCTTCCATCCTCCTCCTCCTCCCCCAGCCCCCTTCTCCTGGCTGCTTGCTGTGCCCCCGCCATGGCTTCCTTGTAGAACAGAGGGGAGGGGCTTCCTATGGATAAATCCATCCCCTGATGCACACACTCCAATATCATGTCCTGGAAGGGGGTCTCCAGGGGAATGTCCCACCTGGGAGGCTGTCAAGCAGAGACCATGAAGAGAGCAGGGCTGGCATTTGGCCACATTTAGTCCAGGGTCTGTGGTTCCCCATTTCTGATCTGGAGAGATCTCCTTGGTCTCTTCTGAAGCTCCTCTTCTCCACTGCCAAAGCCAGCCAAGTCTCCCTCTGATGGCTGCTCTATGGAGTGTCCCCCAAATCTTTCCAGGGATTCTTGACCCCTTTCTCCCCATTCCTTACCCCACAGTGATGGGCTTGTCTCTCTCTTCCCTGCCTGCAGGACTCATCAGTTAGACTTCGCTGCTCCATCAGGATCCTGGGATGTGGAAAAGCTCTGTTCTTCCTGCCAGTTGCCCTCTGTCCATGCTCAGAGGGTGGAAACCTCCTTGGAAGGTGGATGGAAGGAGTCACAGATCAAGAACGACAGTGTCCACCCCTCCCCCACCTCTGTTGCTTGCTTGTCATTTGGGGAAAGTTTCTTTTTGTCTTTCCCTTTCCGCTTGTTGATTGCAAGTTATGGCAACCTGATTCCTTCTTTGCACCTCTCTGCTAGAGAATTTGTGCCTTGAATCTCCCTGGAGGAGCCTGAGCTGTCCCTGAAAACAACCATGAATCTGGTCAGACTGCCAGGACTGGTCCTTCAAGCCCTGATGGGGAGCCTCACAACTGAATTGGGGAGGTTTCCCAGGTGGCCTCCCACACCTCTCCATGTGGCCCCTGGGACTCTCCCCAGCCTTGTGTCGCCCCTTCCTTTAGACTCTTTGCCTGGCTGGGATTTGTCCTTCTACTCCAATCATGTTTCTTGCTTGCTCTGATGTAGAGGGGAGGGTGAGCTTGTGCAGAGACTGGTCTCCTGTGAAAACTTCACACTGGCCTTTGATGCTCTGCTCCTGCCCACCATTGGTGTGTGGCCCCCAGAGGGTTCCCCAGAAGACAACATGGCCCTTGGGCTGGAGAAGGTTCCCCACACCCAATTCCTTTGCTGCTCTTCTTGCTGTGGACTAAGATGGCTCCCCCCCCCCCAGCTGCCCCTTGGGTGACCTGGGAACACTGGGTCACTGGAAACTGCCTTAGGCCGAGTCCATCTGGCTCAGCAGCATTTCTGGTCCCATATGCCCACACTGACTGGCAGTGGCTCAATTGATGTTTCAGAGGGCGAGTCTTTCTAGCCCTTCTTGAACGTTCCGGGGACTGAACCTTCTACACTCCAAGCAGTTGCCCTTCCGTATATGATACTTAAAGTGCAGTCAAACCCACAATGCATGCTTTCCTGGAAAGGCACGTGATAGGATCTGGAGCTCACAGAATTTCCCCGTAGGTTTTCCTCCTCGTAAACGTTGACTCACTTTCAGCAAGCCCCTTCTTGGAAGGACCTGCTTCTAAAATAGTCAAAGACCCGTTTCCCCTTGTTGCAAATTAGTCCCAACAACTTCCTCGTGATCCAAGTGGGCATTACCCAACTATTGATACACTCCACCCCAATGTTTGAGTGGTGTGAGGTTCCAGCGGTCCAGGAAATGAGGTGCAGCGAAAACTCTGGTGTCTTTAGGTTATATGGTTTATTGACACATATATATGATGGGCTCACAGCATCAAAACCCCAAGAGGTTCCTAACCAAAGCAGCTCTCGATTCAAACAAACACCAGCCATGTTCCGAGACTCTCCTTCCAGCTGGCTGCTGACAGACTGAAACCTCTCCCCCCACACACATCAGGCCACAGCAACTGAAATCCCCAAAGCTCAAAACTCTTGTCCCTGCTCACTAATTTGGACCTCAGGGTGGGGCTCCCCCCACTTTCTTCATGGCTCATTCTTAGCAGCCATTATCAGTATTCCAGCTTTTGAATCCCTGCTAGATCTGGAGATCCAGAGACCTTGATTCAACCCATTACTGGTTCCAGGAATTCAGGGGTGCCGGCCCCCCCAATATAACAATAAATTAAATGTGCACACCCCTATTATTCCTCCTCAATCTCTCTCTCTCCTCTCCCTCGCAACATGAGTCCATTTCCAGGGACAGCCCGTCTCCTCCTTTTGCCCTGATGCTTTTGTCTCCACTGAGCTGGTGATTTCTTAATTGTAAAGATTCAGCTATTTTGTGGTGATAACGATGTTAAGCCTTGGGATGATTTGCTCTGAGCTGCACCAATAAAGATTGTCCTCAACCTCCCTCTGTGGTATTTGAACTGTTTCCTTCAATTAAAGGTCAATATTCACAGAGTGCGTCACTTGTCCATCCTGGAGGGGGGAAATCTGCCCATTTCCACACAACTTCACCTGTGAAAAGGTGGCTTTTGTTGGTTTCTCTGTGTTGCCACTGTGCACTGCTCTTGGAGTCACAGGACTCTGTTTACATTCCAGAGATTCCAGGCTGTTTCTGCCCTGCCTTCAGGGCTCAAGAAGAACATCCTCACCCTCACACACACACACACACACCCCAAACCACCAACAGCCAAAGTTGCAACAAAGACTGACAGTTCATCCCCCGCCCCATAAGAAGAACCCATCTCCCATTTTTGCAGAGTGCTTTGCTCAGTTATTTGCATTGCCCCATACTGATAAAGCTCTCGGGTATTCAATACATCACTGTCTGTCAGGGATGTGGCTGAACTTGAACGCCTGGGAAGAGTCTGACTCTGGAGATGAAGGAATGCCAGTACAGAGGGAGCCAGAGTCTGGAGACAAGGGAATGCAGCCACAGACAGTGCAGGAGTGGGTTAGTTCACCTCCCCATCAAGAGTTCCCAGAGTTAGATAGAGCAGCAGACCTGGAAAGCTCACAGGCAGAGGGAGGGGAGGAGATAGATGACATTGAGGGGGTTGCTATGCAACCAGGAGGGAGACAGCATTTAGAAGGATCTTCGTTCCATAACGGGGGGGGGGGGGGAGAGTTCACCCACCTTCTCCCCCAACCAGAAGAGCTGAAAGGGTTAAAATGCAACAGAAGTACAAGAGAGGAAGGACTGGACTTTGGCACCCTTCATGCTGCGAAAGGGGCAGAGACTCAGAGTGATCAACTTGTAGCCAAGAGTGGTAGCCTCGAAGGCGCGCTCTGGATGTAAATTGTAAATAAACATATCATAAAACTGCCAGAGACTCGTTAATTCTTATCAGGGCTTGCTTGCCTGCTTGAGATCGTTACACTGTCTATGTTTCTCAATACCATATTATTCCATGTATAGTCCCCTCACCCCACCATTCCTGTCTGAAAGGGAAGATCTTTTCCCCCCTGCATAATGTTGCAAGGAGACCTGTACAATCCAAATTCTGCCAGAGCACGATTTCTGTTCTCATCCTGAAGCAAAGTTCTTAACCTGAAGCACTATTTCTGGGTTTGCAGAGTCTATAACCTGTAACGTATGTAACCTGAAGCATATGTAACCCGAGGTACCACTATATATCTACTTCCACTGGAGTGCTTTCGAACTGCTAGGTTGGCAGGAGCTGGGACAGAGCAATGGGAGCTCACTCCGTCGCATGGATTCGAACTGCTGACCTTCCGATCGGCAAGCCCAACCAAGGGGAACCTTCATCAAAGTATAATGGGGATGAGGAAGGGAGTGTTATTAGGCAGGATAGGGACACGGGTGGCGCTGTGGTCTAAACCACAGAGCCTAGGGCTTGCCGATCAGAAGGTCAGCAGTTCGAATCCCCGCAACGGGGTGAGCTCCCGTTGCTTGGTCCCAGCTCCTGCCAACCTAGCAGTTTGAAAGCACAAAGTGCAAGTAGATAAATAGGTACCACTCCAGAGGGAAGGTAAACGGCGTTTCCGTGCACTGCTCTGGTTCGCCAGAAGCAGTTTAGTAATGCTGGCCACATGACCCGGAAGCTGTCTGCGGACAAACGCTGGCTCCCTCGGCCTATAGAGCGAGATCAGCGCGCAACCCCAGAGTTGTATGCAACTAGACCTAATGGTCAGGGGTACCTTTACCTTTACCTTGGGGCAGGATGAGCAGGGGGCGCCCTTGAAGACTGCAAGGCTGGCTTGCCACATTTGGAAGTAAGCGAAATAGCACCACATTCCCATTTGGAGCAGGGACCGATAGGGGCATTAAGCCAGTGAGCGAGAAGGGGCCCTTGCGCCATGATCCTTGGGAACAGCATGGCAAAATCTCCCCATCTGTGGAAAGGCTGGAAGGAGAACACCTGAAATTCGACAGAAGGTGCACAGCAGCAGAAAGGTTAATCCCCCAAAGTCAAAAGTTTGACAAGGAGTGATCCAGAGAAGCAGAGTTGAGGGAAAGCTCTCTCTCTCTCTCTCTCTCTCTCTCTCTCTCTCTCTCTCTCTCTCCCTGCTTTGCACCCTCTGCCGTCATTTGCCCAGAGAAAGGCTTCTTCTCCTCTCTCGCAGCAGCCTGGGCTGTTCAGCGAGGATAGTGACAAGTGTTGGGTTTTTGCAAAAGTGACACCTTCCCTACCTAGCGACTGATGACCAGGCAGCCTCGGAGCCTGGGATTGGCAGGGATCAAAGCTCAGCTGCAGGGAAAGTCCCCGGCCAGACAGCTCAAGGCTCACCCAGGGCAGGTCTGGAAATCCCCAGCACGGGGTTCAGCATGAGCGGGGGGGGGGGGGGGGGAGCAGAAAGCAAGCAAGGCGTAGCGAGCAGCAGCAGCAACAACAACAACAACAGCATCAACACACTTCCTTCTCCACTTGCCCAACTAAGAGTTTTTGCTTCAGTAGGAAAAAACAAACTTCGCATGCACACACGCATTTTGGAATGTGCTGAACTGTATAACCAGAGCGGATTAATTTACCAGGACGCCATTATCCTTATTCTCCCTTCTTATTTCAGTAATTGAATCAGGTCCACCCACAAGCATTGGCGCCATTTCCAGGGGGTCCTGGGGTCCCACAAATTCTTGCTGTGGGTGCCCCACCTCCCCACACACCCTTCCTCTGCCCACACACATACAGCAGCTGGTTGAGAGCTCTAACAACCACAGCAGACCACAGCAACTGCGTAAATCAAATTAGGCCTCCTATTGCTTTCATATAATTAATTATAGGTTCACACAGTTTTGCAGTTGGGTCAGCTGCCTTATTTATTTCAGTGGTGCATAAAAAAGAAAAAAATCTGCAGTTTAACTTCCTGAATCCTAGGCTGGTTGGTCCAACCACATAGGTGAAAAGAACAGAGAACTAATTGTGGTGCCCAGTGCCTCAGGGGGCCTGTCTCAACTAAGTGCTGTTGTTCAGTCGTGTCCGCCTCTTCATGACCCCCTGGACCAGAGCCCGCCAGGCACTCATGTCTTCCACTGCCTCCTGCAGTTTGGTCAAACTCATGCTGGTAG